GAGATTTTTATCTTATCGGGTAAAAAGCCTAATTGTTCTACATCATGAATAAAAACTACTTTTTTAATATCAAGAATAAATTTCATGTATAAATTCATAATCCCTGATACTAAAATAAAACAAAATAAATTTTTTGTTGTTTTTGAAATTTTGGTCAATATTCTCTTAACTTTAATAAAATAGTTATTAAAATCAAAATGCATCCTAAAATATTATTTTTAGAGTATTAAACACACAATATGATTATTTTAAAACAAATATTTTTGTTCTATTATTTCCTCTCTATCATTTTGTTCTCTTGGTCTCTCCTCCATTCGTCTAATACATGGAAAGCAGTGTCAACGTCTTTTTGAAGGAGTCGGACAAAAAGATTGAGGTTAGTGACAGAGGAAGGAAGAAAAAATCAGTTTCTTCCCTTGTTTTGCAAGTCCAAGGGAAGAAGATGATGGTGCCATTCAAAACAGCACCGTTTTGAGTTTTTTTTATTATTATTTAAACAGTGCATGAAACGATGCCATTTCATTTAAATGAAATGACACCGTTTCATTTAAATGAAAAGGCAGCAAAAACATGTGAATTTTCATATTGGCCCTCAATTTGTAATTTGTTCAATCAAGTCCTAAATTGTAATTTTAATTTAAAATCAACACAATTACATCCCTGCCAAAAATCCAACAGCGGCCCTAAAGTTGGCCATCCTTTTCACTTTGGTCCTTGGTCTTGAAATTATGCAATTTGACCCTCATTTGACCAATAAACTTTTAATTTCTTCAATTGAGCCCTTGACCGGTTTAATTCCAACCCCTATACTTACGCAACCTTTTCCATTTTTGTCCTTAGTTTTGAATTTCTTCAATTAAGTTTTTAATTGGCCATCAAACTTCAATTTTATACAATTAAGCCCCTGATTTGACCAAATTAACTTTTAAAAATTATAATTTGATCCCAGAACTTTAATTTCTTCCAATTAAAGCCTAAATTGACTTTAAAATCAATTTTTCTTGCAATCAAACTCTTTATAAATTAAATTAAACCTTTAATAAAATTTAATTGAGTCCATAAACATCTAATTTTAGACTTTTCTTACTCAAATTGAATTTTGTTTGTTAATAGGGCTGTCATCAGTCAATGAAATACTGTCAAATTTTAATCTTTGTATTTTATAACCTCCTCAATCAATTTTTGCCTATTTTTTGGGAGCGCTGACATCCTTTTTCACTGTTAATATTTTTTTGATAATATGTTTTATGATTTTTTTGTATTTTATTATTTTTCATGTGGGGGGCCTAAAAATGGGTTATAACAAGTACCATGAAAGGTTTACTATTATGTTGCAGTGAATGTCAAATTGTTGTGAATTGTTTAATGAACCAATGTTTAGTTTCGGCTAATAGCATTCGAAGGGATGAATGAAACAAATGATTGATTAGCTTCAGCTAATGGCATCCTTCCGAATGGATGACCGGGATAAATGATTGATTAGTTTCGGCTAATGGCATACGAATAGATGACTGTAAGAAATGATTGATTAGCTTTGGCTAATGGCATCCAATGTGGATGACCGGGATGGGCAATGATTAGCTTCGGCTAATAACATCCAAAGCAGATGACCGGGATGAACAATAATTAGCTTTGACTAATGGCATCCAAAGCAGATAACCAGGATAAACAATGATTAGCTTCGGCTTCAGCAAATGACACTCGAATAGATGATCGAGATAAATGATTGATTAGTTTGGGCTAATGGCATCCGAATGGATGACCAGATAAATGATTGATTAGCTCTGGTTAATGGCATCCAAAGCAGATGACTAGGACGAATAATGATTAGTTTTGGTTAAGGGCACTTGAATAGATGACCGGGATGAATAATAATTAGTTTTGGCTAATGGCATTCGAATAGATGACCTGGATAAACAATGATTAGCTTTGGCTAAAGGCACTCGAATAGATATCCAAGACAAATGATTGAGTAGTTTGGCTAATGGCATTCAAATGGATGTCCAAGATAGATGATTTGATTAGCTCATGCTAATAGCATCCTAAAGGGATAATCGAGATGAATAAATGATTAGCTATGGTAATGGCACGCTAGATGAATTACCAAAATGAATAAATGATTAATTTTGATAAATGGCATCCTATATGGATAATCGAGATGAACAATTACTAGCTTCAGCTAATAGCATCTTATGTGGATGATCGAGATGAATAAATGATTAACTGCGACTAACGGCATCCTAAATGGATAATTGAGATGCATAAATTACTAACTTTGGCTAATAGCATCCTAAGTTGATGATCGAGATGAACAAATGAGTAGCTACGGTTAATGGCATCCTAGTGAATGACTAGGATTAGTAAACAATTACCTTCGGCTAGTGACATCCTAAGAGGATAGTCGAATTTGAGTGTTATGAGTTAGTTTTAAGAATTGATGCATTTATGTATACTACATTTTGTATATACTAAGTATATGAAATGACTATAGTGGTTATGCTTTAAGCAGAGAATAATATTAGTTCGAAGGGTGGAAACACCTCTAAGGACAACCTCTTTTCTAAAATCATCATTTAAGCCTCTTTGAAATCTATTTAGGGTCATCACTTTATCTACTCTAACTGTACACCTCATCCTATACTCAAGTTATTGGTTAGCCACATATTCATTGGTAGAATTGCCTTCTTACCTCAAGTTATTCCACTAGTCCAAAAGATTTCCTATATAAGAATGAGGCAAGTACTTTTCTTCTAACTTTGTCTTCATTTCAACCCAATCAATAACAGGAGGTTGACTTCTTCTAATCAAAGAGTTTTCTACACTTTCCCAATAGAGCTGAGTGGTTCCACTAAGTTTCATCTTTGCAAATCTTACCCTCCTATTCTCAGATATATTATACCAGCCAAAGAATTGATCCATGTCATGTTTTCATCTATCAAAGATCCATAGGTCAAGTTGACCCTCAAAAGTTGGGGCTTCTACCTTGATATGCCTTATGACTTGGTTATCAAGATTATCGTAATTGTGATGACCTTGATTATGGTTGTATTGATGGTTCTTAGAATGAGCTGGTCTTTGACGGTAATCATTGGAATACTCACTATCGTTAGAGTCATCAAAGTCATTGTGACACTAGAATGCTCACTCTCACTAGACTGTCTTACTTGCAAAGTTTATATGGACTCCACCCTCCTAGAAAGGTTGTTCATTAGATTAGACATGTTGCTTATTTCTATTCGCATAAGTTGTAATTGCTCTTGAATATCTCTAAGAACATTACTAGAGTTTGGGTCCATGGTAGCCATGACTTCTAAATTGTGTACTAGACACTACTATGTAAATGCATGCAAAAACTAATTCTAAGACTGAGATCACAAATAACACATGCAAATAAAAACATAAAATAAAATTATAGATAATTTTTTTTTTCTTAGAGACTAAGTAATGACAGATTAAACCAAGATATATAAGTCCTTTAAATGCACACAAGTAATCCAAACACAATGTTTCAATTTTCCCATGAATATAACCTAGCTCTATAATTAATTAAGAGGATCAAATACTTAATGCCAATAAACAAGCCCAAAATCAAAGCAATTCAATTTGCGAGGTGAACTATGTAGCTTACTTATAGGAAAGCACAAAGAATAATATTAATGCTAAATCTTGGTTAACAAATAAAAGCATACCAAGAATGACGATATTCAATGGGTAAAAGAATTTTTGACCAAGTGATATAGCAGTGAAGGATGACATGGCAGAATCTACTAATGACGCAGATGCTACCTCGGTGTGGTGACGTGGAAGGTGACGTGGCTGATGACACAGATACTGCCTTAGAGTGTTGATGTGTCAGGTAACGTAACGATGATATGGTAGGGTTAATTATTTTGCTTCGAATTTCTTCTTCTGTGTTGCAATTATTGAGTTTCCTTTTGTTGTTTGCTAGTGGCAAGGCGTGACTGCTGAAGGCGATGACAACTGCAATCTATTGGAGGTGCAATTACCACCGGCCGGCTACTGCTCTGTCTGTTATTAGTGGTTGAAGGCGAGGACAATGTGGATAGTGGAAGCTGAAGCTCTGTTGTTGGCCCAAAAAAGGATGACCTAGCTAGGGCATTGTCTTTGCTGGGTTGAATCACCAGTCAGTTCTGGTGGTGATAGGTTTGTGGGTGGTTGTGACTAGTGATTTTGGTGCCGCTGGTTTGGTGCTAAAGTCAAAGATCCATTGATATCTCTTGCGGTGTAAATTTAGTGGTTGCCACTGGCTTGTGTCGGAGGTAGTAAATCGGCTTGGATCGGTGGACTGATGTGTAGGTCTTCTTGTTGGTGGGTTTGCCGCTGTGATTGGCTAAGGCACCGCTGATGGCAGGGGCGCTGCTACTGAAATTTTGATTATTGTCGTTGATGATGAACAATGGTTTTTTTTTTTAAATTAGAACAGTATGATTTTTTTAGATCAAACTAAACCTAGCATTTAGCATAAACATGTGAATCATTTAATTGTAAGAGCAATTAAAATCAGGCTCTAATACCACATTTGATGTGAGACAATAAATAATAAGAATTAAATCAAGAAAAAAAAGGAGCTTTAGAGAAAGAAGAAAGTTAAAAAAGAAAAAAAAAGGAATTGGAGATACATAAAGTCTATAATATTTTCATTAATTATCAAAATTGTCTCATAAAATGACTGAGAAACATATAGATAATAAACTCTAAAATATCTTATTATTAAGCTTGGTTCATCAAATTAAACTATTTAATATAAATAATTTAAAATAAATAAAATAACAATAAAATACATCTAAATAAGTTAAATAAATAAAAATAACAATGGGATAAGCTAAATGAACTTATTCCTTCAACTAAAATATGATAGCCGGGGCTATTCTATTTTTTCTGTCTATATACTCATATAGATTTACATGTAAGTCTGGTGTATCCACTAAATTTAAAAAATAATTTTGAGAAGAGTGTTTTCCATTAAACATAGCCATCCCTGGGACTATTACGGTTTTGCATCAAGTACTGTGAATGGAAGAGATGGCAAAATAATTGAGAGAAAGGAGCCAAAAGTGACGGAAAGATGCGTTAGATTCTTCAATCTTAAAAGCAGGAGACCGACAGACACGGAGTGATGATAAGAAATAAAAGGACGCTTTTCTGACGTTTTCCCTCACTGTTTTGCCTAGGTCACAAATTACCATACATGACGTTCTTTTTTTACATCATTGAAAAGAAAGAAGAAAAGAGGAAGATGGTAATTGTACTGAATTGTTTTTTTTTTTTTTTGAAAAAAAAATAGAGTGAAATAATTTATAATCAAAAGTTAGGGTAAGAAACACTATAATCTAGATAATTTTAAATAATGCGTTTGTTTAGTATTATAATAACATTTATTTTTTAAAATATTTTTTATTAAGAAAAGTATAAAAATATTTATTTTAAAAATTATTATTAATATCAATAATTAAAACAATTTAAAAATATAAAAAATTAATTTAAGATAAAATAAAAAATTTAAATTTTTACAAAAATATTTTTCAAAAAAAAACTGATACCATGTCGGCCACAAAAAAAAAGCGTGCTATTATGTCTTATCTTCATTCTCTTATTTTCTCTCTAGTTCCCATGCTTTTAACAATGGAAAATCTAATGCTTCTTTCTGTCATTACTTTTTGCCTGCTTTCTCTCAATTATCTTACCATCTCATCCTTTAATAGTACTTGAAGCCTAGCAGTAACAGTGTAAATGCTATGTGGTTTTGCTTGCTCAGATTTTTTATATTTTAAAAGTATTTTAAAAAATTAATTTTTTAAATTAATATTTTTTTATTTTTAAATTATTTTAATATGTTAGTATCAAATATAAATTCAACCTTTCTACATGTCAATGTTTCCTCCAAGGCTCATTCGAGTGTTTATTAATCTCATTCTCTAAGTTAGGTAGCTTTCTCTTTATTATCATATATTCACGCTTCACTTGAGGGATGTTAGAATCCCACATTAAATAACACAATATTATTAAGCCCCTTGGAAATCCTCACTGCCATGAGAATGAGATTAATAAACACGCAAAAAAAAAATGATGGTAGGAATATTCGGCAATGTCTAAGAATTATTTAATTAAATTATTTCAGCATCTCAACTCAGAAGATAATATTGTGGCATTGTCTAAGAATTATTTAATTAATTTATTTCAGCATCTCAACTCAGAAGATAATATTTCGGCATTGTCTAAGAATTATTTAATTAATTTCTTTCAGCATCTCAAGTCAAAGAATTAGTTAAAATTTTGATTTATAAAACTTGTTCAAGAAATAGGCTTGCTGTAACGAGAAAAAAGAAAGAAAGAAAGAAAGAAACAACCATTGTTGACCCCATTTAAAAAACAATTGATAGGAAGAAACAATGAAGATGATGATACCATGATAACAAATTTAAAGAAAATTATAGAACACTGATAAGACTTTATACATAAATTTATAAGCAATTGGAAACCCTACAGAACACATTCACTCTGTTGACTTACTTTCTTGACAAGTAATCCCTGTTCGATCAACCATATATATGACACCAGGAAGGGATAAGACCTGTCAGTATTTATTTAACCACAATTTCTTAAAGAAAGCAGATGCTAATCCAATCTTGTTGCACGACCTGCTGAAAGTTCAAACCATGCTTGTCCACTTCAAAGATCAATATTGAGACAATCTCAAGTGGGAATAAAAATATATCAAAGCCTGTGTCTTATAGGGAGAGTCGTGTGGTGATGTGCTGCGCCACTATCTGGATCGTGCTTGGTCAACTCCTCGAATAGCATTGCAAATCTTTCCATAACTGGTGCACGTAAGGAGATCAGAACCATGACTCCACGCTCTCCTTTCTTGTTTCTATAGGGTAAGTAATAGGTTCCAGAATTATTAATGTCATCAGGCATAGCCTTAGATGGGCCGGTATAAACTGGCTTACCCCAGCCATAATCCACCTGATCGAACCCAACACTTGTTAAATCTGACACAACATATGACGGCAACCCTCTAGGCAGGCCCTTGGTAATCTCTATGAAATCGGCCAACGATCTTATGTACTCCTCAGTGATCTTGTTCTTGGCATGCCTTATCAGCTCCAGAGCATACCCTAACGAGTTTAAACAGAGCTTCCTAGCACTGGTTATAGCTGCTGGCAATGCCAGCACGTTACCATAATAACCCTTTGGTAGCGGAGGGTTGAATTTGGAACGTGCATTGACGAGCATACAAATGCGCATCTCCTCATTAGGGTTTGCTTGAGATGCTATGGCATGGCATCTCCATAAGCATGCGGTTATTATTTCAAACTTGGAACATGGGTGTAAATGAGGAGGAATCCATTTACGAATGTTGGATAATTCTTTAGGGCCGATGATGAAACAACGGTGGGCTGCACCGTCACTGCTACCGCGAAATTCAGGAACGTTGAGCTCGCTAGGATCCACAACAAGATCATGATGATCGCCATATTCGTTGTGTGTGCAAGTAACACGAGGTGGATTCCTAGCACAAAGGAGTTCTCTTTGCCACACAGGTAGAATTGAAGGGGCTTGAGCACCTCGTGAGATCTCACCTATGGCACTCAATAGCTGAACTAGGCCAATGGCATCACTCATTGGGTGATTAAGACGGAAGCCAAGTATAAAACCACCACACTTCAAGCGTGTTATCTATCAAAATACATTAAGAAAATCACTAGTATTTTATTATAATGTGATTATGGAATGTAATATAGCACAATGTCAAGAAACAATAAAGATTTAATTTAGCGTTAAATTACATAAATATTATATACGAACACTAGCTGAGTTTTGACAAATTTTGTGATGGGGGAGCGGCCGCGGGGAAAGATCTTTTTCTTGCTAGTGTGATAATATAAATTTAATTAATATATCTGAATCCTAAAACTAAGTCAAACTAAGAAAAAAATGGGTTAGCTGTCATTTTCTTCGATGTGAGAACACACCAAATTAGTGGATATATCTTAGGCTATGTATCACATAAGGATTAAAGAAGAACGATAAAACAAGAAAAAGTTCAGAGGAAAATAAATAGAAAGGAGAAAAGAACAGGATGCCGTCAAGAAGAAGGAAAAGAGAACAGAGAGGATGATTGCATGCTGTGAAGCCATCGACTATTTGAATTTTGTAATTAAAATGGTTAAAAATAATATAAATTATATTTTAAAATATAATTTAAAAATTTAAATTATTGAGGTGAAATAGTTTTTTAATATAATATCAAAATATATAATATATTTTTTTATTTTTTTAAATTAAATCCAATAATTAAACTAAGAAGTGGAGTTCTGGAAAACATATATAGAAAACAGTCAGAAATGCATTAATTACCAGAGTATTGGAATTCACACTCCATCGGTAATTTCCTCAGGAAACTCGCCACTCACTCAATAAACTTTAATTTCCATCTATGACACAAGAAAGGAAATGGTTCCCTTCACCTCTAAAATACACAGATGATTTGTAATCCGTTAGTATTTTCATCGGTGTTATGTATAGTGAACAGTGTCATGGGGAAAGGAACAATTATTTTCATCTTTGGAATACATCAACGAATACAAATTGTCAATTTTTTCTATCAATATTATGCACAATGAACAATGTCAGGGGAGTGGAATGATTCTCTTTGCCTTTGAAATACATGGATGAACATGAATTATTGATATTTTCGTTGGTGTCATGAATAGTGTCAAGGGAAGGGGAACGATTCCCTTCACCTCTAAAATACATTGAGGGATACAAATCATCAGTACTTTCATTAGTGTTATGCATAATGAATATTGTCAGATTGTATTTGTATTCTCTATCTATTTATTCTGTAAATATTTAAATTAAGAGTTGCATAGATTTTTTAACAGTGGCTCATCTCTCCATTAGACACAAAAAATCATTTTTTTATTTAATTATTCACCTACTAAAACAATTAAATTCAAAAACTAACTTAGAGATAAAAAATTTATCGAGGTTTTTACATTAAATAAACTTGGAATAGTTGATCCGTGAATGATTAGGGCAAAAAGCCCAGGCCAGTGACTCCTTAAAATATGTGGGGAAAGGAAAAAAAAATTACACTATAACAAAGCTCAATGTAATCTAGATAATATTCTTAGCATTCAATTGCCCCATTTTCATCTCTTATATTATGTAGAGAGAGAGAGCAGAGAGTTGATTCACTTGATTCCTTTAAAAAAACTTAATCTTTGAAAATTATTACTCTTCTTCCTTCTGTTTAAATCTTTTGGCTCTCTGAAATTCGAAAACCTTCCAGTTTTCCCCAAGTCTTTATTTAGATACTTTCCATGTCATTAATAATCGTATGACTAACATATTGTCAAGACATTAAAAACTTGTTTGTAATAATTAACAAGAAACCGGAAAAAAAAACTCTATCTCTTTCTAAATATTATAAAATCATTATTAGTATAATTGAAATTAGACTCATTATACTTTTTGACCAAACTAATAATCTATATAAAATTAAAAAGAAATTAAAATTTTAATTTAACTGCACCTTATTAAAAACCAAATATTTTTTTTTAATTGAACTTATTATGAGTTCAATTCAAAAAAGTTATGTGGTCGTGCCAGCAAATTTCCTGTCGGACGGACTCGTCCAGCATGGGTTTAAAACACTTTGTACAAGTTTAGATAAACCGTATTTGTATAGATTTGTTTTAATTTCTTCTTCACAACTTCCTCTTTATGCTTTCTCACCTTAATTAACTTTTGAGTTAAAATAAATAAACAAATGATAAAAATCTACTTTTTAAAAATGTTTTTTTCCATCGAGAAGCAACTTAAAAATATAACTTAAACAAAATTATATGTAGCTTTCCTAAATTATTACGTATTAAATAATATTTATGTAATTTTATTTATTAAAAATATAATAGCATTTTTAATTTAATCTATATATATTTTATTTAGATTTAGATTAAGATAGAATGTTTATAATATACAGATAATTAAAAATTTTAGTTTTTTTTTGTATTTGATATTAATTATTTTAGTTTTACGGTGTTGCTTTGATTTAGACAAAAATAAAATAAAATAAATGGTTGTTGTCCAATGAATTTTCAATTATTTTTGTTCAACAAAATGGCATATATATGTTGATGAAAACCCTAATTTTTTATGTATATAAACGATCAAAACCCAAATGAACTCACGAAACAATGATCAATCAAGCTATTGGAAACAAAATATTGATCTTATTATTTTTTTAGATTATTATTGAATATAAAAGTGATAGCACACTAAACAAAATAATAGTCATGAGACTTGAATTTGATAACTGTAAACAATTTGAAAACACACAAATCACCAAATTTTCATGAAAACTCCAAGTGACATGTCCAAGTATACAATCACAACAAGGTCAAAGCGTACGGACTTGTTGGTAATAAATAAATTTAAAGGCTTATTCAAACTTGCCACCATCTGCTTTAAAATATTTTTTTTTGGTACGAAAGGCTTATCCGGCCAAGAATAGAATAATATCATAGCCTCTCCTCTGTCTTATAGGGAGCTTGGTATCATTTCTTGTTGTTCTTGGCTTCTTTCTGGGTCCTGCCTTGCCAATTCCTCTAATAGTATTGCAAATCTCTCCATTACTGGTGCACGTAAGGAAACCAAAAGCATAACCCCACGCTCTCCGTTCTTGAATCGATACGGCAGGAAATAGGTTCCTGCAATAGAAATTTCATCAGGCATGGCCTTCGGTGGCCCAGTGTAAATTGTGTTGCCCCATCCATAGTCCACCTGATCGAACCCAATACTTGTTAAGTCTGACACGACATATGATTGTAACCCTATAGGCTGCCCTTTGGTTATCTCCATTAGATCAGCCAATGATCTCATGTACTCCTCAGTTATTCTATTCTTGGCATTTCTTATCATTTCCAATGCATACCCTAAAGAGTTTAAGCAAAGCTTCCTAGCATTTGTTACAGCTGCTGGTAAAGCTAGGACGTTACCATAATATCCTTTTGGTAATGGAGGGTTAAATTTGGAACGTGCGTTGACAAGCATTTGCATGCGCATCTCCTCATTAGGGTTAGCTTGAGATGCTATGGCATAGCATCTCCATAAGCATGCACTTATTACCTCAAAATTTGAACATGGGTGTAAATGAGAAGGAATCCATCTACGAATGTTGGATAATTCCTTGCGGTTAAGAACAAAACTACGGTGGGCTACAGCGTGAACCTGGCCGTGGAATTCAGGCACCTTGGCTGTAGGATCAACAGCAACAGGAGCATCATTACCATATTCATTGTGTCTGCATGTAACTCGTGGCGGATTCCTAGCACAGAGGAGTTCCCTTTGCCACACAGGTAGAATTGAAGGGGCTTGGGCACCTCGTGCAATCTCACCTATGGCATTCAATACCTGAACTATGCCGAGTGCATCGGTCATTGGGTGATTAAGACGGAACCCAAGTACAAAACCACCACACTTCAAGCGTGTCACCTGTTAACATAATGTAAAATTAGAGAATGTAATTGATGGAATATTACCATCATTGTTTTAATTATATTTTTTAATTTTCTCGATAATAATAATAATGATGAAAGAATGAATAAACATTAGCCTATAATGTCCTATGCGTACCTGAAAAAGCAATAATGGGGTATTGAGGATCCCATCTGATCCTGGGACGTTGTAAAGAAGTTCCTGAAAGCATGGGAATGGAGATGGAATTGGATCACCAAACTGCTCAACCGTGGCATCGGCATCGGCTTCGATGAACAAGACACCCTCACCAGTACAATCTACTATAAGTTTATTGTCTGGCCCTTGTCGAATCCTACCAGCAAAAGGGTAATAATACACAAGTGCCTGCGCAATTGCCTCCTTTATTACCTTGACAGGATCTTTCCCTTGCATTGATGGATTGTGTGCATACAAGTTGTAATGTGGTGATTGAAATTGGAGGTATAGTTGGCGATCAATATCAGAAAGCTGTCTAAATTCATGAGGTGTGGCCTTAGCTGGCGCAACCAATTCTGGTTCGCGCCTTCGGACGGCGAACGATATGGAAGTTGCCATTGCACAAAAAGTGTGTTTGCTGCAAACTGTGATAAATGGTGGCTCTACCTCAGCAGTCAAGAATATTTTTGCTTGAGATGGAATGCATGGGAAGGCAAACTTGCTACATATTTATAGTAATAAAGATTGTGTGCACATGCAGTAGATGTGAAAGGTAGGAGCAGGAACAGTAGTAAATGATTACGTTTATAAAACCATGAAATCATCAAACAGTGAGGTACTCGTAACCCACTACAATACCTAACTCCTTTCCAATTCATTATTATTCTGGTTCATGATTCCCCACTGAAGAATCTTTTTATTAATTTACCGTTATACTCATAGTTTTTTCCTTTATTCTTCGCTGAAAGTTCTGTGAAGGAACTAACAAGTGGACAAATAAGAAGAAAATTCAAACATATATGAAAATTAAAAGGGCTTCTGAAAATTTCATTATAGATTATCCTAAAATTATCACTCCAATATGGTCATGCCCAGTACTAACCATGTTGGTTTTCCTTTCATAATATTGAGAAACCCCCTCTCCTTTGATTTATCTTTCAAGTTTAGAGGGGATAGATTTTGGGAAACTACGTGCCTAATGAAGGCCTAATGAAGGGGATTCCTTAGACTTTGACAAAGTTAGAATTTGAACTAAGACAAATTAGTTATCGAATAATTATTTTTTGTTGAAGAGTCTAAAATTTAGAAATTTATATTATATCCTGGGATTGGTTTTATACTCTAATATTCTTCACTTAAACTTTTATCCTTAGGAAAATATATAAATTATATTTAGGATTTCATTTAATAGTTAAAGTTTTTAAATTAAGATGATTTTTTAACATGATATTCAAAATCTTGTTAATCAAGTGATTATAAATTTAAATCTTATCATTTTATTTGATTTAATAAAAATTAAACATAAAATAGTATAAATTTATATAAGTTTTAAATCTTTTTTTTTTTTTACTAAGATGTATTAAAAAAATAACATGGAGTTTTTTTTCTTCCCTTCTTTTGAGTTTTTTGGGAGGCCTTAGACGCTGTGGCCTTCCCTGGACCAAAATGTCCGTGAATCCCTCTCAAGTTCTGCACACAAGATTATATATTGTTTCCTTAGATATGCATTTACAACCAATAATTAATGAAGGTGTGCCGTCTTCTGCAATTTAATTGGCTCTCTAACTACTAGCGACTCAATTAATCTGTTTTTATTAGTATTATGTATCTTTGCTACCAACTTCACCAGCATTGACTTTTTGAGGAGCATCAACCTTGATACATTGACATCTAGCTAGTGCTATTCATGCCCTCCTCTAAGTCTTTTATAAATTTTATTCACATAATTAATTCATTAAAAAAAGGGGTTTCACAACAAAAAAAATAAAAATCAAAAGGGTAGTTGAGGATATGTTAATTGTGTACATAAGAAAAATAGAAGGAAATTGGAGGACGAAAGGCTGTGCGATTGGTTGAAGTGAAGCTAACAGCAAAAGATCAATGACTCACAAAACAGTCATAGTTGACCATATCATAAATATATCGTAAGCAAAGTTGAGGAAACGAATATGTTTTGTCATTAACTTGATTGTTGCTGCCTACTCATTGAGAATTTTTTTTATAGGATAAAAAAATTAAAAAATAACTTTGTTATTTATTAAAAAATTATAAAAACAAAATTGTTAACCAAGTTTTACGTGAATTTTATTCTGGTTAATTTTCCAAGCTATTCAAATATGAACCATATCTGAAATAAATAAATTTCAAGTTCAAATATTTTAATTATTAAGTTTTTTAAAAAAAAATTTTAAAGGTGGTTTGATGCTCAAAGAGATTTTATTATAATTAGTATTATTTAGTTCAAATTTGGAGACCGTCTTACAAATAAATTTATTGAATTTATTAAATATTTTTTAATACATCAAACTGATATATGTCTACATGACATTTTTTCTATTGAATTAACTCTTTTATTTCTTGGATTATGTAATTAAAGAAATAAAGAAAAGAAAATAAACATGTGGAAATTAATTTAATTTCTTTAATTAATTAGGTTTGTTTAGGCTAATTTTTTTCTTAATTAATTTTTTTCATTTTAATCATTTAATTTTTACATAAAAAGAGAGAATTTTCTCCTTTTTTTAAAAAAAAAAAACAAAAAGGAGTTATTGGATTATACGTCGTCGAGCATTCAATTTAGTATCTAAAAGAAAATTCCATTATGATGGAAGGACTATTACAAAACAAAAGAAAGAGTAGAGGGACTCAGTCAATTATAAAAAAAACATAAGAGGTTCCAATAAAAGAATTAAAGAGTATAGGTATCAAATAATGGATAAAATCCATATTACAAAATAAATCATGATAGTAATTTAATTTGTGAATAGCAGTGATTGATATTTTGTATGGATAAGAGTACTCTTAAGCCATCTTTCACTTATCATAATTTATTTATTTTTTCAAATCAAGTCATCCTCGTCCAAACCGATCATGTCTTATAGTTTTCTTCGTGGAATTCGAATCTCCAATAATAACATAACCGGTCATTATTAAGCAACATGATAGTGAATAGTAATTAAGATCATGTCGAAGTGTGTAGTAAGCAATCCATAAAATTACGAAGTGGTTAGGTGAAGGATAGATACGAGTTTCCATTCTACAGTAGTTGAATGATGAATGGTCTTCATTAATTCTGTTGACTGAATCAACTTGTTTCTAATCTCAACTTGTTGAATTGTTTAACGTTCATTCACTTATCTTCAAGACCATTATATTGACCGAATGCGTGTTGCTTGAATCAACTTGTTCAGTGATTAATTTATTGTCGTTTCAGTAACATAACGTTGATGAATGAATGAATTTATTCAAATATTTAATTATAATTTATTTTATTGCAAAATATTCTAATTATACATTTACATTGAAATCACTGAACAAGCCGAAATCTGTAAAAATATAAAGATTGATCTTGCAGTTAATGGGTTACCTCTCGATTCTTGCCACCCGATACGAAGCAATGAATATATAATTATTTAATCCAGACAGATGAACATCGAATCCTACAAATGAATTAGCTTCTGCCTGCCTATCGTCAGTATTATTAAATATCAGATGCAGGTTGGTCCTGTGTATACTCTAAGTATATTCTTAATGACGAGTGCATATCAAGTTGACTCACTACATGGGTAGTAGGTTTATGTTCTTCTAACAAAAATGATGGTAGGTTTCAACTTATATTTTTATCTATTCTCTAGGATTATTCTTTTAGTTTGAGATATCAATGCTCTTATTTGTATTTTTTTTATAATTTTATTTATCTCGTAATATCATTGTTTCAATAATAGTAAATAGATTTTTGAAATAAAACACTTCAACTTGTTAAAAAATAATATAAATTATATTTTAAGATCTTATTTAATAGTTTAAGTTATTAAATCAATATAGGTTTTTGATCTTATATCAGAGTATTAATAATGAAGTGATCACGAGTACACATCTTATTATTTTTGTTTATTTAAAAAAAATTAAGCATAACATAATATGAATTAATGTATATTTACCTCATTTAATAATTTAAATTATTAAATTCAAATGGTTTTTAACACAACTATTATTAAAATAATTGTATGATTTGATTGGGAAAATATGCATGCATCTGCCTTGTATTTTTTTAGATTCCCATTACTGTTTTTTATTATAGATTTTAATTTTACTTAGCAAGTCTTTTTTATAAATTTTAAGAAGTTGATTTGATGCTGAAAGAGATTTGTTTTTTAATTATTATAATTTTAGTTCAGATCTCAAGATCAACTTATAAATAAATTTATTAAGTTTTTTAATACATCAAACTGATATAATATTTCCAAAAGATAATTTAATATTAATTAACATGAAAATACATCTTAACATTCGAATAAAAAACATTGGACATTGAAGCTTACCTACCACCAACTAACTTAGTTTTTTTTTTTAATAATTTAAGAAAAAAAAGTCAATATGCCTATTCAAAGCCATTTCTGAAAGAACACTCATAACAAATTAGAAATATGAGAATACTAAGTCAATAGTGTAATAAACATCTACAACGATGGCATCTCTTAGGATGAGCTGGATATAGCTGTTTCGTTATAAAAAGAAGACGATGTTGTAGATTATGACATTTCAACAACACAAAAACCAAGGCCAGCTACCTTTCCTTTGGGTGAAGAAAGGAAAAGGACTTCTAATTTTCTAATTCCGACCTTATCTCCTCCTCTGTGTGTGTGCACACGAGAGGGAGGGAGGGAGAACAGCTTATTTTATTTCTACCAATCTTTTTTACTTAGTTTAAAGTTTACTCTTACAATTTTAGGGTCAGTAATTTAACATGGCATGGTTTAAAATATATGAACTTGTTGAAAATAAACTTGTCCAATCAACATGAGAACATTATTTTTAATGGACAACGGACAATTGACAAGGTTGAAGGTCATTGTCGTAATGTCTAGCTCATAGGGCTTTTCGTAGAAATAGAAGAGGGTGTTAGAAAGTTTGATAATGATTATTATGGTTTAATTGTTTTTTGAAAATATATTAAAATAATATATTTTTTATTTAAAAAAATATTTTTAATATTAGGATATCAAAATAATTTAAAAAAATTAAAAAAATTAATTTTAATTAATTCAAAATTTAATTAAATTCAACTATCATAACCTAAATTTTGAACAAATAATAAATGAGGTTGACAATACAAAATTTAAAGTTTAAGAATGAAATTATTAAATTTAAGAGAAAATTAATCAATAATTTTTTAATTAAAAATAAATCCTATCTGCATATAACTAGTTCAAGAGAGTTCAAGTAGTAGAAGGGATTTAGAATGTTTTGGTTCAAATCTTCAGTTTTGGGCCTTCACCGTTTGTCAAAATACATACATACATATATATATATATATATATATATATATATATATATATATATATATATATATATATATATATATATATATATATATAATGTGAATAGGTACGGAATTAGTTTTGTTATAAAAATATGCTTGAAAAAAAAAGATTGTCATTGGACTCTAAGTTAAACCGAGTTATACAATTCAAGTTTATTATTTTTATTTAAAATAATAAAAATAAATCTTACTTTTAATAAGATCAATTGAATTGTAGATTAATCTGTTAAGTAGCAGATTTATTTGGGTGAATGTAAAACTGATTATTTTATAATAGTCATGTATTTGGTAGAATAAAGAGAGAGAGAGAAGAAAAAAGCAAGAAATTTTGTTCTGTTTATCTGAACACCTAAATCATATGGGTTTTCAAGGAATCCAAAGCCTACGACTAGGGTTCAGTTCAAGTGGGACTTCTTCACTTTGGGCCTATATTATATATCCAACTCTCATTACTCTTAAGGCAATGAGCCTCCCTCCTGAGTCAAGACTTGCAGAATTGGGTGCTTAGGATGATTGATTCTCTAACTAGGAAGAAACAAATCTTCTTAAACTCGACTGAGTCAACTCATCACAAGATGTGACTCATGATTCAGGTAGATTAACTTAGGTAAATTAAAATCAAAAGGATTTTAATAAGGCATGGAGGGGGCACTGAATTGATTTGCAAGGACTATAATTAAGAGGTGGAATGACTCGCCTCTTCCTGTTCTCCAAAAACTTCTCACAGCTTATAGGGAATAACTAATATGTAAATCTAAGATTTGATTTTGACTATTTTTATGGTTCATGAAAAATAATTTTATGGAAATCATTTTTAATTTGTTTTTATATTTATTCACTATTAAAAGAATTACCAAAGGAAAAACAGTTTTCACTTCGTGGAAAAATTTGGTTGTTTTCGAACAAATTTTTTTATTTTTTATTTTGTATCACACTTTTTTAAAAAAAGTTGAAGAAATTCAAAAATATAATGTTATTTGTGGTATCAAATCTAGTTATTAATTTTTTTGTTACTATCTATTTTGTTTTTAATTTTTTAATTTTTTAACTTTTAATTTTATCTTTTATAATTTGATTCAATTTAATTTTTATATCTACTTTAGTTCTTTTATTATTTTTTTATTAATTTTTTTATCTATTTAAATTTGATTTTTATTCATTTTATTATTATTTATTTTATTTGAGATAATTTATAAAATTAGAATTTTATTTTAATTTTATCATTTTTCAATATTTTTTCTTGTAAGCTATGGTACTTTTTTTTTAATAAACTTGAAAAAATATTAATAAATTCAAAAATTACTTTAATTTTTTTAAAGAAATTTTGGTTAAAAATAATCTCAAAATCAATTTAAAAGATTTACATAACGACTAAATGATTGACTAGTCAAAACTCTCATAAAGTTTGATCTCTCAAAATCAATTGACTAAATTATGTGTTTCATGCATACAGATCCCTTAATATTTTATATTGATCAAATATATATTATTTTAAGTGAAATATGACTCAAAATTATAGAATTTAATAACGAGTTTCACATAATTCATTCATATTTAAAATACAAAAAGCACAAGGCTTTTTTATAGTCCCTTGTATAGGTTTCTCCCTATAGAATAGGAGATACATATTGACAATATAAACATGGAATATAACTAAACAGCTAAGAGTTCTAATCAAACTCTTTAGAAGATAATTACAATCAAAGATAATTACAATTTGCTATACTTCCCCTCAAGTTGGTGTATAGATATTTTACATGCATAACTTGTTTAATACTCAGTGAAAAACTTTACTTGATATTGTTTTAGTGAGAATGTCAGAAAATTGATCTTACGATCCAACATGAGAAACTTCAATTATCTTTGCTTCTAGTTGCTCTTTAATAAAGTAACTATCAGTCTCCACGTGCTTTGTTTGGTCATGCTGAATAGGATTGTGAGCTATGTCACATGTAGTCTTGTTATTGACACGATCAAAGAGTTGATGGTGTTTTTTTCTTCTTCTTTAATCTTCATAAAATTTTAAGCTTTTACAACTAAATTATTCACATTTGGACTGTTATATATATAAACAGTTTTCTTTCAAAACATTGATATAGTCAAACCCAACTTATAGGGAATAACTAATATGTAAATCTAAGATTTGATTTTGACTATTTTTATGGTTCATGAAAAATAATTTTATGGAAATCATTTTTAATTTGTTTTTATATTTATTTACTATTACAAGAATTAGCAAAGGAAAAACAGTTTTCACTTAGTGGAAAAATTTGGTTGTTTTCCAACAAAAAAAAAGTATTTTTTTTATTTTGTATTACACTTTTTTTTAAAAGTTGAAGAAGTTCAAAAATATAATGTTATTTGTGGTATCAAATCTAGTTATTAATTTTTTTATTACTATATATTTTGTGTTTTAATTTTTTAATTATTTTATTTTTAATTTTATCTTTTATAATTTGATTCAATTTAATTTTTATATCGACTTTAGTTCTTTTATTATTTTTTAATTAATTTTTTTTATCTATTTAAATTTGATTTTTATTCATTTTATTATTATTTATTTTATTTGAGATAATTTATAAAATTAGAATTTTATTTTAATTTTATCATTTTTCAATATTTTTTCTTGTAAGCTATGGTACTTTTTTTTTAATAAACTTGAAAAAATATTAATAAATTCAAAAATTAAAATTTAATTTAATTTTTTTAAAAACAATTTGGTTAAAAATGATCTCAAAATCAATTTAAAAGGTTAACATAACGACTAAATGATTGACCAGTCAAAACTCTCATAAAGTTTGATCTCTCAAAATCAATTGGCTAAATTATGTGTTTCATGCGTGCAGATTTTTTAATATTTTATATTAATTAAATATATATTATTTTAAGTGAAATATAACTTAAAATTATAGAATTTAATAATGAGTTTCACATAATTCATTCATGTTTAAAATACAAAAAGCACGAGGCTTTTTTATAGTCCCTTGTATAAGTTTCTCCTTACAAAATAGGAGATACATATTGACAATGATAGACATGGATTATAACCGAACAACTAAGAGTTCTAATCACAACTCTTTAGAAGATAATTACAATTAGAGATAATTACAATCTGCTATACTTCCCCTCAAGTTGGTGCATAGATATTTTGCATGCATAACTTGTCTAATACTTAGTGAAAAACTTTACTTGATACTGTTTTGGTGAGAATGTCAGAAAGTTGATGACACGACGAAAAGATTGATATCTTCTCCCAAGTGCAGGAGTGTCAAATTAATAAATAACCCGGCAAGACCGGGGTCGAACCACAAGGAGGTTAATTGTACAAATTATAAACAACAACAATAGTAACAACAACAACAACAATATTGGTAGCAATAATAATAATAATAATAATAATAATAATAATAATAATAGTAGTAGTAGTAGTAGTAGTAGTAGTAGTAGTAAAGCAAAAGAAGAAGAATGAGAAGTTGATGTATATATAATGCAAGGATGCATATATAAAAAATCTTATAAAAATATTAATATTAAAAAAAATTAATGTATATAAAATTAAAAAAACCACAAATGAATCATACTTACCTAAACATAAACAAAAAATTTATTTGAAAAAATATACACAAATAATGCATTATTTTTTAAAAAACTTAAAAATTAAAATAAAAGAATATAAAAAAAGAACCAGGTCAAGCACTTGCAGGCTTGATAAGCAAGGTATATGAGTTTAGAAAATATGTTGAACCCACTATCGCTACACGACGTTGGGTGACGACTCCACTCTTTTTTGTTTGTTTAACAAAAAGATTAAATATTTTTTTTATTGGGAGAAATAAAGATTTTATTGGAGTCGCCATCTAGTAATTTGAGGAAACTAGAAATCCAAAATTAGATACTGGTCCCAGAGATTCAGGTACTGGGTTAGTTATGATTAAGGGAAGGTAAACATCACCCTTAAAACATCCTTTCAAAGAAAGGTTACCCTTACTTGTGTGTTTTTCATTTGATTCAAATGCTATTATATTTTGAGCTTATTTGCAAACTTTTTAAGATGGTTAACGTCGGTCCCTAAAAAAACAATGAAAAAACTACCCGAGTTAAATCAGGTTAACCTGTTAGCCCCATAATTATAGGTATAAGATTAAAGTATCAATTAAATGTTGAAATACTATATATAAAAAAATCAAATGTTGAGGGATCTTATCTAATAAATAATAAAATTATAAATAAGAACATGAAAGCAGTCAAAGCTCAATTTCTAGTAAATAAAATATTGAAGGACGAATTGAAGACAAAATATAATCTCAATTTTTTTTTGAAAAAAACCCGTCTCAATTCTACAAAATCCGTGACCTGGTTGTGATATTGGGCAACCTCATCAAAAGTAAATTGAATAAAACTATGAAGTTTAATTATCAAACAACTTAATGTTGAACAGTAAGATAACTTGTATCATTTTCAAAATCAATGAGAAATCCGATAGAAAGAAAATAAAAAAAACTAGAGCCTAATATTCAATTAAATAAATGTTGAAGAATGAACTAAAAAACAATAAGCTTAAACAGGGGAAAAAACCAAGCAAACTCGAGCAAATGTCCTAAACTTATTGTACTTAATCTTAAATATAAATGAATTAATTATTAAATTGATAAAAAAATTTATGTAATCTTATTTGTAATCTTATTTTTCTTTTAGAATTATAATTCATATTTCGGCCAACTTCTTAGGGAACCTAATAGATCACACACATAAGAACCATTAGTTAGATATTAAAATAAAATTATTAATAACGTGTGACCTGATTCTAAATAAATTTTAGAGATTAAGGACTAGAGTGTAAATAATATAGAGAATTGTAATTCTAGACCAAGAAAAATTAAATAAGGAATTTATTGAATAAATTTATAAAATTATCCTAAAATAATATATGCGATATTATTTAAGGAGCAAATTGATGTTTTTTCATTTATATGGTTTTTATATTTTTCTATAAATAGAATATTATGCCTATTATTTCCTAAGAGTATGTGAGAAAAGTATTATACATAAACACCTAAACACAAAATAAAAGAGTTTGCATTCTAAGGTATATCAATCCCTCTCTCTTAAAAGGGTTTAGAAGACTTTTCATTGGTCATTCATGTGAATTACTATTAGAAGCCAAATATTTAGATAGCTTGTGGTTTGTGACAACCTAGCATTGAAGTAATTTTTCAAAGAAAAAAAAAGAACTTATGTTCTTCAATTAATCTTTGTATAAACCCTAAACAATTCTAGATTTGTCTAACAGGATCCTTATGACCCCTAAAAAAATTTGAATTTATAGTTTCTACTGCATGTATGTGTTTCGAGAAATCCAATAGTTATAGGCAAAGCCTAATGTTCTTAATAGAGCTCAAATATTCAGTTATGAATATATGCTTATAGTACTTAGAAAGGAACATGAAGTTTATATTAGTGTGTATGACCAACAATTATAACTTTATTTCTTTTCTAATCAAGTGGTTATATATGCCACTAACTTTATTCATGCAATCAATATATTTAATATTCATTTGAGTTTGATTAATGAATTTAAAGTTAAGATAAGATTCTTAGGAAAAAAGATGCTTAAAAAGAAAATTATAAAGTTGTGATAATTAAGAGGTTTCTTATTATATCAAAATATTGTTCATAGTGCTCCTGGTTAATACTTCATTAATACTAGAAATTAATCAAAGTTATTGAGATGGATACATATTTTTTTTATATAAAATAAAGTAATTGTTCTACAAGGTTGAGGTGTAAATGATACCTAAAATTAATATGTATGTGTTTATTTAATAAAAAAAAACACATTGAATTGACTTGTAAAAGAAATGTAGAGAGAATTTATTCTTGAAAGGAGTAGTGAGAGGAAAATAGAGTTGGAAGAAGTTCAAGAACCATAAACTAATATCCAATTAGAACCTAAGCTCGAATATATAGCACTAGATGCTCAACTTAAAGATCAAGAAACACAATAATTCCATAGATCTGATAAGAGATGTCATACACTAATGAGATATGGATTTTTTATAGAAGCTAAAAATGATAATTTGTTCATACTTAAAGAGCCTACAAATTATATAAAAGTAATATCTAATATTGATTTCATGAAATGAGTCAAGGATATAAAAATTCTACATGGATTAATTACAACTTGGTTGATTAACCTGAAGGGGTAAAATTCATTGGATGTAAGTAGATTTTTAAGAAATAGATTAATATTAATGGCAATGTATAAATGTATAAAGCTAGATTAGTTGTTAATGGTAACAAGAAAAGACAAGAATCAACTTTGATGAAACCTTCTTGCTATAGCTACATGTTAATATTATGAATTCTAGCGGATAGATGTCAAAAATGCATTCTTGTATAGGAATATTCATAAAGATATGCATATTACACTAGCTAAAGGTTTTGAATCTAAATAATTTTTCAAAAAAATATGCAAGCTATAAAAATCTATTTATAAACTTAAACAAGATTCAATGAGTTGAAATATTCATTTTGATAAGATAATTAAAAAATGGTTTTATTAAAAATATTGATGTCCTTCACGTTTATAAAAAGTTTAGTTGAAGTTGAATAATTTTTCTAGTGTTATATGTAGATCACATATTTTTAATAGGAAATGATATATCTTTATTCCAACAAAAAAAGATTTGGTTCACTAAGAATTTTTTTATGAAGGATATGAGTGAAACAATCTATATATTATGAATAAAGATCTATAGAGATATAAAAGATTGTTTGGTTATCCCAATTCATGCACACATACACACACACACACAAAATATTGAAATGTTTCAGCATGAAAGAATTTAAACGAGGATACTTACCTATTTCATATAGGATTGGTCTCTCTAATGATATATACCCTAAAACATAAATTAAGAGAGAGGATGGAAAGGATTCTCTATGCTTCAACTATAAGATCCATTATATATGAAATGTTATATATAAGATCAAATTTATCTTATATTTTGATCATAAGGAGTAAATATCAATCTAATCCAAGTAAGGATCACTAAAAATAGTTAAAAATATTATCAAGTAGTTAAAAAGAACTAAGAATTTCTTTATGGTCTATAAAGGAGATGAACTTGTAGTTTATGGATATTTGAATGCTAGATTTAAATTAGATATTGATGATAGCAAATCCTAGTCTAGATATATTTTTACTCTAAATGGTGGTGATGTTATTGACCTTTAGAGTTACACATTCATATTTTTATATATTTTGATGATAACAAAAAAAAGACTAATAATATATGTTGTAACCCAATTTTGGATTCACTAAATTTTTCTCGAATGTTATTTTATTTTATTATTCACAAAAAAAATAAAAATAAAAAATTTAAAATATATTTTCTCAAGTCAACTGCATCTTTCAATTAAAACCGAGTCCACCGGGTCAATACGGGTCCCACCATGTCGACCGCGATGAAAAATGAGTTTCGGGCAGTTTCGGGTCAAAACCGTCATTTTTGGTCAAAACCGAGTCCACCGGGTCAATACGGGTCCTACCATGTCGACCACGATGAAAAATAAGTTTCAGGCTATTTTTGGTCGAAACTGTTATTTTTGGTCAAAAAACTCGGTCCAAAGAGTTAATACCCATATAAAGATTTTTTTGTAATTAAAATTGATTTTTAGCGGTTGAAAAGCTTTTTTATAATACTGATTTGAGTTTGTAATTTTACTCCTATAAATAAATATTATTATATATAATAAAATAAAAAAATAATTCAATTTTGTCACAGTGACGGAAGATTTCTGTCGATGGTAGGCGGTGCAGCTGTACATTGAAAATTTTGTACAATCCCGTGATTACCTGTACAATTTGTGATTCGCTGTCCCCTATCATTGGCTATAAATAGCCAATGAAACCAAGACACCGGAGAGAAAGAAAAAAGAAGAAGAGAATTCTGAATTCGAGAGCAAACTATTTGTATTACTATTTGACATTGTTTACTTATTTTCTACTTTTTCTTCACGCAAGTAAGATATTATTTTTTTTTAAACAATTTGAAAAATCCCAAAAATATCACAATCGTTAGATCTAATAGTTTTGATTTTTTAGGATACAATAGGCTTTACCACACCAAATTAAAACCCAAATCCATCTCAGCCTTTAAAATAATCTTCCCTTTGATCCTGTTGCGCCACGTCATCAGGTGTACCAAACACTCGGTACACCGCGACACACCAGATTATAGCCCAGCCCATCCTGACCGTCCGATCAACTTGCAGATCAAGCCAATCACAGCTGCACGATCTGTTCATCCGCAATCCAACGGTTCACAGGCTTTAGACGCACTAGTGCACCATGCTCCCACACATTTTAGTTCATTTTAGTTCATAATTTGTAAATCTTTATATCTTACTTGATGGTATAATTAAAATGAACTCTCACACATCACTCAACATACATTAAATGACTAAGGTTTCAATGACTAGTTTTTCTTATAAATATTTATATAGCTTGTCTAATTGCAAAATTAGTAAGGGATTCCAAACATATATAATAAAAAAATCTACTCCAATATCAAAATAACAACAAAATTATCAATCCTTAATAATATTCTAACTAGTGCTTTTAAACCATCAAATTGTAGCACAAAGAGTACATATTTTCATTCTCGCTATACTTAAACACTTTTAAATCGAATAAGTGCTACTTAGTAAGTTATAAAGATACTAGAACTTTATTTGTACCATCCACTCAATTGAAAGAGTTTGTTGTAAACAAAACCATATTTGTAAAACTATGAGAGTTAGGTAAAAACTCTTGGTATTGGTGAGGGGATATCACCAAAGTAAAATCTTGAAGAGGATATATCTTCAAGTGAGAAAAATCTTGAAGAAAGATTTCAAGTGGTGTAAAAGCCTTGATGTAGATTCATCAAGTGGCTATTATACTCCTGAACTGGGACTAATAAAAAATATGTGCAAAACCCTGAAACTTTATAATTTAAATATGTGAATGTGTAAACTTCTATGTAAATGTAATACTGAGTATGATCTCGATAAGTGATGGAAACCAAAATAAGAAATAATATATAAATATGATATATAATGGAGGGGATGACCTCCATTAAATAAAATTTGGTTTAGAATTTATAAGGACAAAGAAACTAGTAATGCGTTTTGATGGATAAAACAATGAGAAAAATGGTATGTTTCTAAAGAATAAGTAAGGTAATAAATAATAAATTATAATGAAGGATAGTATAATGAAAAGGTTAGGACTGAAGGTGCAAACACCAATTAAAAATTAGTGACATTACTTTGAAACAATAATAAGTCTGATAAATAAATAAAGGTGAAAATTTTAAAATGAATATATTCCAAAATAATAAAATGACCTTAAGGGTTTAGAACGATAATTGATATAATTTTATGTGAAGATTGAATAAGAAAATTTGGATTATAGATGAAAAGTCATAAACTGACCAATTTTACATTAAAAAGCAAAAGCTCTCAATCTAATTGTCAGATTAGGATGCAATTTTGCATGGAATTTATTAATATGTTTTCCTACCTTGGTTAAAGATCTCATCCCAGTCAGAGTTTGGTAAATACTAACGATTTAAGCAGAAAACAAATCGAATAGTTTATGGAAATCATCATTAGAAATTTCATGGAAAACAAAAGGAAATACACCTACATAGCAGTTTTGGTCGCCAACTAATTTCTTTCTCTTTTACAATTGAATCATGTTTATTTTTGAATATGTGATGTGCCTAGATGTTTCCTTCATTATGGATGATGGAGATCAGAAAACACTCTCTAGTAAGGTGTTATTCATGTTGAATAGTAGCTCGTCAATGTTCAATTTAGCTTAGTTTTATTCAGATCTAGGGAGATTTAATCATTGGAGCATTCTGATTTTGAGATATATTATGCATAACTCTAAGTTCTATATTTTGACTATTGGGTTTGAAAAACAAATCTAAGGTCGATGACTTATTGCTTTTTGAATCTATTGCTAGTTTTGGTAAAATTTAGGAAACTTTATTAAATACATGTTTTGAAGAAATTAGAATTATATGGGTGTTAGGGTTTATGAAAGATGTAATGGTAAAATATATTCTTGTTATTAAAATTGTTATAGATTAATTATGTATTTTTTATATAAGAGGATGAATAATTATGTTGTAAGAATGGGAAGGAACATTACTATATAAACATGTTGATTGAATAAAAGGTTAACTTGTTGGTTGTGTGGATATGAATGGGGTAATAAGGTGAAATTATTGTTGTGATAATGATGTAAGAATATTAATTGTTAAGGTTTGTTGCAAATATTTAATTGCACAAGGAAAAAGTGAAAGAACATGAATGGTTCATTCCTTTGTTGTATTAATAATGCTAAACAAGGATAATGACATATATAGTATGAGTAAAAAAAGAGAGAAATTTCAATGGGTTGAGTTTCCTTATTTTGGCCTAATCTTGCAATATTGTAGAGGTATGAAAATTGTTTGAATGTTTTGTTTTAGAATTGGTTTAAATTTATGATTTAATGATGTAAAATGACCTTGGATAATGTTGCATATGCATGAAAATAAATTGAAAGTTGAAAAGGATTTCCAAATGATGAAAATCCTCATTGTCCAAAATTTTAGCTATGAAGGAGAGGCTATTATCATTGTTGATTTTAAGCCTTAAAACAAAATTATTTAGAGTTGATTTCTTTCTAAAAGTTGTATTTTTATATTTTAGCCTTTCATAGAGACAAACCATGCCCAAAATTGAGTTTTATAGCTTTTGTTATGCTTAAAACACTAGATAGTGTTCTGCGTTGGTTAAGCTAAATTGATTGAAATTAAACAATTTTTAATCTTTGCTTGGAATTATTGTTAAGTGATAAAATTATAAGATTGAATATGAACATGAACATGAAAATGGGTAAGAGTATGAGATTCTAAGGAAATTCCTTGTGGTTAGTTTGAGAATACTAGTTGAATGAGAATTAAATGAAGTTTTGATGTCGGTTGTATTATTGATAAAAACTAAATCTCTAATGGTATAGGGGAAGCTGTGGGGACTAGATAATTGCATGGAGTGGCAGCACGTGTACATACTGTAGGTAGGTGCATCGCACCTTATGTTTTTAAATTGCGTAAACTTATTGATAAATTTTAAAATTTATTGTTTTATTGTTTTAATAATATTGGAATGAATATGAGTACCTTACGTGCTTTGATGTGTATCAACTAGTTATAATATAATTAAAATGGATATGAGTACCTTACATACATTAATATGTATCAAACTTGTAATGATATTATTGGAATAAATAAGAGTACCTTGCATACAATGATACACCTCCAATAGTTAGGATAATGTTTGAACGAATATGAATACCTTGCTTGCATTGTTATGCATCAAATTAATAATATTATTATTAGGATGGATACAATTACCTTACATTGATAGGTATGGAATTAGTCATGATAACTTTAGAATAGACGTAATTATCTTACATACCTCAGTATGAATTGGGTATACATAATGACTTGAAGATTGAAGAAGAAATTATAGATAATTGGTCACTATAGTGTCTGTGGCTAAGGATACATTACAATGATACTTAGCACCATGATGAGGATGGCTAAGGGTATAAATTGATACTTGACACTATGATGATGTTGACTAAGGTTATATGAATGATATTTAGTGATTATAGTGTCGATAACTAATAATATGTGTGAATGATACTTGACAACCATGGTTACAATTCATAAGATGTTAATAAGAAAAATGAAAGGGGTCGGCACAAATGAAAGATTCAGATGACATTGATTAGCTATCTGATTTTGGATAGCTAATGGTATCAATGGAGTTTCATTGGCATCGTCATTTCAAATGACATTGATTAGCTATCAAGATTTGGATAGATAATTTTATCAATGGGGTTCTATTGGTACCGACATTTCAGATGATATTGATTGACTATCTAGGTTTGGATAACCAATGATATCGATGGGGTTTCATCGGTAGCAACATTTTTTTAATTGATTAGTCTATCCTGAGCAACTAGGTGACTAATGATGTTAGTAAAGATTGTTAACATCAGCATGGTTACTCTTGGTTAAGTGAAAAAGATAAATTGATTAACTATTCTAGGTCAATAATAGTTAATGATATCAATGGATCACATTGGTATTGGCAATCATTTCTAGTGTGATTAGCTACTATAGGTAAGAAAGCTAATGATGTTAAGGGTTCTTGACATCGGCCACTTTGATGGGAAACTAGATATGAATAAGATTTGATTAACTATTCTAGGGAAGGAATAGTTAATGATACCAATTGGTTGTATTGATATAGGTACATGAATGTAATTGATTAGTATAACCCAATATTGAGAGACTAATGATACTAATAAGATTTCTTAGTATCGACAATTACCTCCCAGAAAATGAGAGGGGAAATATTGATAAGTTATTCCAAAAGATTGACATAAGCTAATGATACCAAGAGACGAATATCTTGGTATCAAATAAGAATTGATTTATGAGGAGATGGTATTCAAAAATCATTGAGTTGTGTTGAGATTTTCAAAATGAAATTATTCTCGACAAATGGGATAGGATATTTGATGGATATTGGTAATAGATGGAAAATGTATGTTGTAAAAGAGATTTATGCCTAATTTTATGTATAAAAAAAAATTCCATAGAGATTATTTCATGTCATTGTTATTGTTTGTTACTATCTTTTTATATTTATGTGTAAATATTAATTTCTATTTCTAGGTCTATCAGGATCTCGTCAGAAATGATATTGGTTTAGTTACCTTTTACTTTTGACCATGTAATTATTTGTAAATTAAAAGATTTATCTCCTAAAACTTGAAATATAATAGTAATCCGTCAATTTGCATGTATGACTTTAATCTAATATTTGTAATTCTAAATAACTATTTAACCATACATATTTATTTTTCACTCAATTATATTCTATGAAATTCTCAGAAAAAATAGTTTTTTAGTATAGAATAAAAAGAAAAGTCTTCAAAGAAGTAAATAATTAATTGAATTAAGGACCCTATCTCCCACTTGCAAGGATCAAACTAGAGCTAGCATCTAATAGTAACGTATGTATGACTATTCTTATGATATATCTATAAAAGCTAAAGGCAATTCCATACTTTAAATTTGATTTTTCAAAGAGGGCCAAAGCTAAAAATATTCAAACTAAAAAGTATCCTGTATTTCAAATTTGATCTATTTTCATTTTTTTTTCTTATATCAACATATATAAACATGAAATTTATAGCAAAAAGAAATCAACCTTTCAAATCAAACATGAAATTTATAATAATAATAATAATAAGTTGCAACTTGAGTAGAATAACTTCATCCTAGATAAAAGTACACTATACAAGACATGATAAACAATTATTCTATTTAGATTTGTAGATAGATAGATAAATAGAGAGAGAGAGAGAGATAAATTATTGTGTTTTAGAATAATTCATTAAAAATGTTTGGATTAATTTTTATTTCATGGTCAAGATTCTTGTGTAATATTTTATATATTGTTAAAAAGTCTACACTCTATTTTGTATTAACTAGGGAATTTATAAGAATTTTATTTTTGATATACTAACCATACATTCGAATAATTAACATATAATATGAGCTTTTGGCATTTCATTATAGCAATGAATAGTGAGATGCTTTGGCCTTTTTCAATTTATTCCTCAAGTTTTTTTTTTAGTTTAAATTTTTGTTTTTTAATTTCATCCTTAAATATTGGGTTTAATAGATATTAGATTTTATAATTTATTTCAATTTACTTTTTATTAAGTTATTCTAGTCTCATTATCCGGGTTTGGTAGGTTAGTATAAGTTGATTTAAGTTTTTTTATTCTTTTTAGTTAATTTTTTATTCTGAACTTCATCATTCAATATTAGGTTAATTGGCAATTAAGCTTAATATTCATTTATTTTTTTCTATGGGATTATCATGGTTTTATGACTTGAGTCACGAGTTTTTTAATTGATTTTTTTTCAATTCATTCTTTCAACATTAGGTTGATTGAAAATTGAGTTTCATATTTTTTTTATTTAATTTCTGTGGGTTTATCACAGTCTTATGATTCTGGTCGCGGGTTAGCTCAATTGCCTTAGGGTTTTTTAATCCTTTTTCAATTAAATGTTTTCTTTTTTATAAATTTCAACCTTCAATATTGGGTTGATCGAGAATGAGACTTGATAATTTATTTTAATTTGCTTTATTTGAGGTTATATCAGCCTCATGACTCAGGTCATGATTTTGATCAGTTAAATCAGGTTGACTCAAATCATGGGTTTTTTGTGTTTTTTTTTTAAATTCAATTTCATCCTATAATATTGAGTTGACTAGAAATTTGGGTTAATATTTTTTCTTATTTGTCTTCTATAAGGTTACTAGGGTCTTATAATTTAGGTTGGGGACTTGACAGGTTAACATGAGTTGATTCGAGTAAATTCAAATCAATCCAATATATTGTCATCTTAATATTTTTTTTTTTAAAATATCTTCATTATTTTTTTAATCAAACTATTATTTTACCACTCCTTTGTATTGTTTTTGGATCTACAAAATCAACTAAATCAATCTAACTCATATAGTTTTTTTTTTTTGGCGAGAAAACATGTTAAGTACACCTAGTATTTTATTTTTTTTGCTTAAAAAAAAGTTGATTCGACTTACAGCATAGAGCAAAAAATTATCTTAGTGCTGGCTAAATGGGAATATTTCTCTTAACATCATACAAATCCTTGTAGATTTCTAGTATTTAGAATTTAACAGGAACTATGAATACACAAATACGCTTAGCCTAGCAAATAATTACATTATAGCTTTATCTATTGAAGATGATTTGATTAAAATGACTCTAATTTCATCAGTTATTAAGTAATCGGAAGGGCTGTTATTACTATGAATTTGTAGCTTTTGCATCCGTATCAAATTTAAGGTAAAAGTTCAAAATGTTAGATATCAAGATTAAAGTCTTAATTTAATTTTATATGTGTATTATTAAGCAGATTTTAAAACTAATTAGTTTTCTAATTGACTAATAAATTAAAACACCACAATCTTTTTAACAATGGGTATTTGATTTTTATTTACAATTATTTAACCCTTCAACGAGATAGACTTCAATAAAAACTTGCATTTTTATGGTCGTGAAAGCGAGTCATGCACTATTAAATCCAAACATTATAGTTAATTAGAATGTTCTTCATTTTTATTTTCACTATAATAGAAAGATGAGGTTGAAAATTGAAGGAGATCCAACTTTTACAAGAGTAATATTATTTAGACCACTACCCTACTTTAAATTATAGTCTTGTGAATTTGTAGTTTTTACATCCATATCAAATTTAAGGTAAAAGTTAAAAATATTAGCTATCAAGATTAAAGTCGTAATTTAATTATATATATGTATTATTAAGAAGATTTTAAAACTAATTATTTTTCTAATTGACTAATAAATTAAAACACCGTAATCTTTTTAATAATGAGTATTTGATCTGTATTTATAATTATTTAACCACACAACAAGATAGATTTCGATATAAACTTGTATACAGAAATTGAGTGAGTGTGGTAGGAGAAAATGGCGATTAAATTGAACAGATATTTCACTTTCTTTCTTCATGGATTATAATTACAAACATGTATGAAGAAATAATAATATAATATAATATAAAGACAATAACAAATAACACAAGAATGAGTAGAAATACATACCTTGTAGTAGAGACAGGAACGAACGGAAGATTCACGATCACTTAGACACCCACTACCTCTCATCGATTGCAACCACAAATATAATCCTTACTGCATGTAGTGTTACTACAATTATGATCTCTCAAGGTTTTTTCTTTTTTTCTTTTTAATGAAAATGATGATGAGGGGAAAAGAACGAAAGGACCTGAAAAGAAGACAACAATTAATTAAATGAAGAACACTCTCTGCCACTTCCAAGGATGAAACTCGAGCTATATGGTCGTCCCTCCATCCCACTCAAGGAATTTGATTTGCCCATAAAGAAAAAAAAAAAGAAGGCATTCCTTGCTTCAAATTTGGTTTACTTATGAAGTAAGCTAACGACATCAACATTTGCAGGCTAAAGAGAGATTCTCATTTCAATTATTTTATTTTATTTGGGTGCTTGCAGGCCAATGGCTTCATGGGTAAGCGAAAACATTTCTGCTGCATGTACAAAACCAATTTAAGGCATGTTAAGATGCCATAAAGCCTTCAATTTTCTATATTACCGTATACAGTTTTAGATACTTCTATCATTGGAAGATGATAACAATAAAAACATTTTTTTTTTGTTTTTATAATGGAACTATTATAAGCGGGTTTGGGCTGCGATTCAATCTATTTTTAATGGAAATTTAAATTTGTTTTTCAAATTAATTTTTTTAACTATTTTAATGTGTTTATATAAAAAATGAGTTTTGAAAAATATAAAGATATTATTTTGATATATTTTAAAATAAAAAATATTTTAAAAAATAACATTAATTATATTTTTAAATAGGCCCAAAATATAATTAAGCTTGATCGATGAACAAATTGAATATCAAGTTTAAAATTTCAGTATAAATCATATAAAATGTTTTTTATATGCAAACAAATCTAGAAATTGACACATAAAATTGATTGTATAAAATTAAAAAAAAAATATCTAGCAAGGTTGCACTTATTACAAATATTATCCAAAAATAAATATATTTTATTTTTAAAAATAAAGTTCAATTATATAAAACATAAAAACATTATAGATGAGTTAGACAAATCTTTTTAAAAATTAAAAACATAAAAAATACTTAAAAACAACACTATTTAAAAAATGTTAAATATAAAAAAAATCAAAGAGAATGAGTATTAATTTAAATAAATTATTTAAAAAACATATAAGAAAAAACATGATTGTTTAGGATTTTTTTTAAGCCGGTGCCTCATCTATTTACAAGGGCTCGTATAGGGGTCTATTTTCTTAAAATGTAATCGGGGAAATGACATATCATCCACTCCAATGTTTTTTTGATTATTAAGCCCAGTTTTAAATAAATAAAATATTAAAGTATGAAATTAAAAAAAAATATAAATTTAGAAGAAAAAAACACAATTGATGATCCAATTTTTTAAAATTTACAATTCATTGTCTCAAGATAAAAAAAAATAAAAAAGAAATGAAAAAAAAACATGAATCAAACTTAGTAAACTTGTTGAATACATAACCTAAGACATAATATCAGGATAACTCTATAGAAAAAAAATAAGAAAAACAAAGAATAACAATTTTCACAAAAACTTAATTAAAAAAATTGAGGTAACCCTTCTTATTATTTTTTTTAAAGATTAATCCCATTAAAAGAAAGTAAAAAAGAATGTTAGAGGTTGAAATATTATTAAAAAAAGAAATTAAAAAAATGAAAAAAAAAGTTTAAGTGAAAATTGTAAACACATGTTAAACTTGTAAACCCAGAATCCATTAAAAGTTTTACTTGAGCTTAACTTAGGAGCTCAACACCTAAAAATTAATGGTTGGAGGATGAAATCAATCAATTTAATTCAGTTTAAAAATAAAATAAAATAAAAATATTTTAGCCAGACAGGTTGATCCTTATTTGTTGAGAAAAATAAACTTCATAAAATGCAAAAATTTCCCTTTATTTTCCTACTTAATTTTCTCAGGATTCAAACACAAATATTGTTCTTTTTGCTTTTATTGGTGGTTAATTATTTATTCAACACATAACAAAATGTTTGGTATTTGAGAAACCACGGGAAAGTGAACGAATAAACTAAACTGACAAAAATCTTAAATGGTTTTAAATTATTTCAGCTACTTTTCCTCAATTTTCTAGGTAAACAAGAGGAGCTAAATTTATTCCCAGCCTAAACATCAATAATTTTCAGAAGAACAAAAGAAGAGATTATCACTTCTATTCTATTTGCTTTAGACCAAAATTTGTTCAATGTGCTTAGTTATAAGAGGTGCGAGTAAGTTTATTTTTTACTTCTAAGATGGTGTTTGGCTCAGTGGTGGCTTTTGTGGTTAGTCCAAATATATTTTTTTATTGTTTGGTAATAACAAGCTGATATTACAAAAACACAACACTGTTACTGTTGCTCTAGAGATTTTGATTCACTTTGTTTTTCTTAACCAGAGACTGAAAAATCCCTAAAAGCCATCACTCATTTAGATCCAAATACCCAGAACTGCATAAAATTTCTGCCACCAAACCCCCCAGATTTATAAAAGCCAGTAAGCTATTACTAGATCACTAAGCTATTACTCTATATTTGTCGTCAGATCCCTAAAATCCATTACTGTGCCAAACCATTAAGACATCAAAACTTGTTTTTCTTCACAATTACCCCTCCAGCTCCCAAAAAGCCATTATAGAGCCAAACAAGAAGCCATCACTTTCCTTTGTTCTTCATCATAGCTGATAAATCTCTAAGGCTAAGCTCTCCTTAGAGATCTAGTTGTCTTTTGTCCAGATCAACAAATCTCTAAGGCTCATTTTGTTTGCTCACCATCCCACACCCCCCTTCATATCAGCAATTGATCTGGTAATTTTTTTTATTTTTTATTTTTATGTGGTCACGTTGGGGGATAAATATCCTAAAAAATATCCGGAGCTCTAACAACTAATATTACACTTAAACATTTAAGGATTGTGTTTTTTCTTCTTCCCCTTTACCTTGCATAAAAAGTGAGTTGTGAATACAGTTTGTTAGCTTTCATTTAAAAAATCACTATAGTGATTTGTTAATTCATTATGTTGTGCTCATCAGCATTATCTCAGCATTATCTCATGTTTTTATTTGTTTAATTAGCTGCTCTAAGTTTGTGTAGCAAAAAGTTTATAAGATTAGTATCATACATATAAAAAGATATTTCTAAATGCCAAGAATAAACTGCAACTGTTTTTATGGATTCAAGCTACTCCTGCAGTTTAAAATGGCTAGCAGCACCAGTAAAAGAAAAAAAAACCTTGTGCTATCAGCTTTATCTTCCTTGTTCTGTGTTTATGCATTGATTGCAGTGGACTGGTCAGCTATTTGCTTAAATACACCATTTTAGAACTTGATGCTCTGCCCTCTAGCAGTAGCTTGGACTTTGAAATAAAGAACGTGGGCTTCATGCTGATTCCAATGCTGGTACTTTGGACTGAGAGAAAGGGGAAGAGAGGGGTGGGGGAGTGAAAGGGGTGGAGGATTAGATTTATTTTTCAATATGATAGTGTGTTTGGGTGTGTCAGGCCATACTCGATTAATTAAATTGAATGTGTATATTTTTCTGCTCACTCTGCATTTATTAGACATATTTTTAATTTTTAAGCATACATTAGTTAGTTTGAGTAAATTTCCCCTTCCCTGTTCTTTGTATTTTTCTCTACTTATTTGTTATGTTTTACTTATTTGTCGTAAGCCTAAAAGTTTTGTAGTTAGAAAAGTATAGAAGAAATAAAAAAAAAAAATATAAGATTACCAAGTGATATGAGACCACCCATTGTTGTGTAAATAGCTTTCCTTGTTTTTGCATTTCTTCGTAAGCCTAAAAGTTTTGTAGTTAGAAAAGTATAGAAGAAATAAAAAAAAAAAATATAAGATTACCAAGTGATATGAGACCACCCATTGTTGTGTAAATAGCTTTCCTTGTTTTTGCATTTCTTGTTTATACTTGCTCTGCTTTTTACAGAACTCCAATATTTGATGAAGATTTGTTGTTCAATGACTAATATGGATTTTTGCTTTTAAATTGGTTACCAATGAATGTTGCATTCGGTTTGCTAAGACCTAAAAATCTATTTCTTTCATGATATCAGATATCAACTTCCTCTGCTTGTAGCTCGCACTAGTTTTTGTTGAAGCTCCAGATATGCTTCAATGTATTTGATAAAGTTATACACCTTGATAATATCGATCATTTGTCTCTAACAATTCAAATATTACTTGGTAAGTCTGCAATTTTGTCTAGTTGGAGTGTATATCATCTACAGTGTTGTTGTTCTACTAAAATGATATTAGTGGCAGTAATTTTGTTTATTAATTTACTTGGCTCAGCTATGTTATGTACAATAAAATTGGTGTTTGTTTTGTCATACAACCAAGTAGCTTATACTCAGATTTATAATGATAATATTTCATTGTTCATGAAGTTCTTTTCAATTTATTAGTGTATGGTATATCTGGAGAGGTTATGTGTTTTTTATTGTTGATTCATGAACTGCAGTTTATTGATTACAAGGGGTATGGATTTAAAGATATTGTTATGTCTTATGTACTATAAATATACAGATAGTTATTTGAATCAATTGTATTATTAGTAGCATTCTCCCATTTTTTTAAATTGTAATTTTGATGAAATTCCTATGCATATATCATTTTGCTAGAAAAAAATATTCAATGGAAGGTGCTGAAAGCTCGGATAAAACATCTTGGAGTAAAGAGATGCTGCATACGTTTTGTGATATTTGTATTGTCATTATTGAGAAAGGAATGAGGCCAAGCACTCATTTCAATAAGGCCGGATGGAAATTTGTTATGGCTGTCTTCAAAGAGAAAACTGGTCTTACTTTTACTAAGATTCAACTAAAAAACAAATGCGATGGTGCAAAAAAGGAGTGAATGATTTGGAAAAAACTGATATCTGAAACAAGAGTAGGATGGAATAATGAACTTGGAACTATTAGTGCTAGTGATGAGTGGTGGAAAAAAAAACTCAGGTTAGTTATTGATACCTTTATTTCCTGGATTTATCTGTCTTGTCCTATTTCTTAAACTATTTAGCACATTTTATATGGTTTATGCATGTGCTCTTTCATATTTGTTCCATACAGGAAATTAGAGGGTCTAAAAAGTTTAGACATGCTGGGATTGAACCTTCACTTTGCAATAAGTTTGATAGAATATTCAGCAATGTTGTGGCAACTGGACACTATGTTTGGGCTCCGTCTTCTGGAGTATTATTTGATGATGATACTGTGAATCAAAACACTCAAGATGTTCATGTTAATGAAGAAGAAAATCTAGAGGAAGGGAGTGGTGATTCTGAGGAGGATGCCATTCCCAATTACACAGATGATGTTTGTAATTTAGTTGTTGGAGTTAATATGGGAAATAACAGTACCACAAATAGCAGTGGAAAGAGAAAAGCAAAAGAGCAATGTAGTGGGCAAAGTACAAATAAAAGCAAAAAACCTCATAGAGTTGGAGCTCAAATGCTTAAACGTTGGGATAAACTAGTTGATGATGTTTCAATAAGGAATGATAGTAGGGATAAGATAGGGTGTAGCATTAGTGAGGTGATGATAGAGATTCATTCCATACCCGACATTATTTTTGGTGATGACTTATATTGGTTTGCTACGGAGTACTTGTCTAGGAGGAATAAAAGAGAGATGTGGGCAGCAATAGGAGATCTTGATAGGAAGTACCAATAGTTGCAAAAAATGTATCAGTGAAGTCAAAAGCATTAAATGAAGGTTAGTATTGCTTTAATGATCTTTTAGTTTTTGTTATTTCCTGAAGAATGATATCGCAAACTTATTGTCAATTGCTTAAACAACTACATGTTATAAGAGTTTTGTTGTGCTGCCAAATGATGTGCAAGTTTGCAGTAATAAGATATACTTCTAAGGCTGATGTATTGAAGCATGAAGAGTAGTATTGATATTGGTAGAGAACAACTTTTCTTATTTATGTTTGCGGATTGCTAATCTAACTTGTTTACTAGTAACAACAATTATGCACATGCTTTATGAAATGAAAAACAATTTTTTTTTTTATCAACTACTACCCTCTCCCCCCAACCAAAACGAGACATTGTCCTCAATGTTCTAAGGTAGAAAGATAGAGTATAAAAGATATCACCTGAAATAACGAACACTGACAAAACCTGAAACACACTGAAACAAAAATAAGAAATAACAAAACATAATAATAAAACCAAAAGACACAAAAATTCACAAATGAAGGCTCAAATCCAATCTAAGCTTTTTACGGCTTTCCTTAGATGACCAATTTATGCGACTCATGGAAGGATCAATCACAGGAATGAAAGATTGTAGTTGGTCAATCAATTGTTCAGCAGTAGTAGCAGAGATTATGATTTGTCGTGCAGAAGATGTTAGAAATTCCTGTTCCACAGCATGATCAAGAAAAGACAACAACTTATCATAATAACCATTAACATTTAACAAACCTATGGGTTTATGGTGAATGTGCAATTGAGCCCAAGAGGAAATATGAAAGATCTCTTCCAATGTGCCTAGACCACCTGGTAAAGCAATGAAGGCATCAGCATGGTTAAACATTGCATTCATTCGAGCTGACATTGTGGAGACCTGAAGTTCCTCTCCAATTGTTTTTCCAATGATGTCCCCTTGTGCCAAAGCTTCAGGGACGATTCCTAAAACTTGACTACCTCCTAAAAATGCAGCTATTGACACACCTCCCATTAACCCAAGACTGCCTCCCCCATACACTAAATGAATCTTTCTCTCAGCTAGCACCTGACCAAGATGATTTGCTGATTCTAAAAACTCTTTTTCTTTCCCAGGACTAGATCCACCGAAAACACAAATATTTCTTATATGATGACTTGGGGAACTTGCCATTTCTACACACTTCTATATATGCTGAATGAATGGGTTGAGTAGAAATGATGGAAATGAAGAGAAGATTTTATAGATGAGAAATTGAAAATACAAAGCATACCACCTATATGTAGGCTAGCTGAAGTCTTACTCTCTCTCTCTCTTTCTTATTTATTTATTTATTTATTATTATTATTTTATTATTATTATATATATATATATATATATAAATGTATGTACAAGCAGTTGTGATTGTGGCTCACAGCTTTCCCTTGGTTTTACGTCCAAGAACGGCTTAAACGCCCTCTATGGGTCGGGGATAGGCTTCCCATCCAGTTTTCTTAAAAACTGGCAAACAGGGTCTTTTTTAGTCAGATTCCCAAGACTAAGTCGATCATGTTCTTTATGAAAATGAGGCCATAAATCATGAATTGCACGATGCACATCTCCACTAGGATGCGTCTCAAGAGTTAATAGAAGATTATCTAAAGACTCCTTACTCAGGCCATCCTTAATGAATTGTATTTTATCTTCACGGTTTATAGATACCATTCCTAAAGAACGACATTTTGTATTACAAGTCCATCTGGCACATCGGTGACAGACTTTTAGTCGTTTTGCACGACGTTTCTTTGCAAAAGTGCTTTTACCTGTCCCAGGCATGTATGAAATAAAAGAGTTGGAAGACTCACCTGATAATCGGATCTTTGCTTCAATTATCCAGCGAATATCTTCAGGAATTCCATGGTTCATTAACAACCTCAATCTTTCACACCTAGCACGGTAAATTTTTGTAATCGCATTCTGAGGCAGAGCAGGAAAATACTTTTTCAATTTTTCAAGAGTGGTGTCCATTTTTGTTTTGTTTTGTTTTTAAAGAGAAGTGCAGAAGAGATGTAAAGAAAAGAGAAGGAACAAGGAATTGAACAAATATATACAAAGATATCAATTATCATGGGAAATTGAAAGAACCGACTTAAGAGTCACGGAGTACCGTTATCCGCCATTTGACCGGGGTTGGAGAAAGACTAGCAAAACAAAAGTCACACCAAAAAGAAACACAAAAAAAATATGAGAAAAACAAAATAATCAACCTTCATATACAGGATCATTCAAACCAATGGATTCATTTTCACTAGGAAAATTATCAAAGTAAGCTTTCAAACGATGTCCATTGACCTTGAAAACATTACCATTCTTTGGATTCTCAATATCAAAGGCCCCATAAGGATATACATGTTTCACAACAAATGGACCGCTCCATCTTGATCTTAGCTTTCCAGGAAATAAATGGAGTCGAGAATTATAAAGCAAAACTTTTTGACCAACATCAAATGTTTTTCTCAAGATTCTTTTATCATGAAAGTCTTTGATTCTTGCTTTATGAATTTTTGAATTCTCATATGCATCATTTCTTATTTCTTCAAGCTCATTTATTTGTAACTTACGCAGCTGACTCGCATCATCCAGGTTTGAATTGAAAGCTTTAATAGCCCAATAAGCTTTGTATTCAAGTTCCACAGGCAAATGACAAGGTTTTCCATAAACCAACCTATAAGGTGACATACCTAATGATGTTTTAAAAGCAGTTCGATAGGCCCATAGTGCATCATTAAGTCTTAAAGACCAGTCCTTTCGATTAGGGTTCACTGTTTTTTCCAAGATTTGTTTGATCTCCCTATTAGCAAGTTCTACTTGTCCATTTGTCTGGGGGTGATAAGGGGTGGCAACTTTGTGTGTGATTCCATATTTCTTCATTAAAGACTCAAATGGCTTGTTACAGAAATGTGTTCCACCATCACTTATCATGGCCCGAGGGATTCCAAATCGACTCAAAATGTTTTCTTTCAAAAACTTAATGACTGTTTTATGATCATTGTTACGACTTGGAATTGCTTCTATCCATTTTGAAACATAGTCTACTGCGACTAATATGTACACAAAACCAAATGATGGAGGAAATGGACCCATAAAATCTATACCCCAACAGTCAAAGATTTCAATGACAAGAATAGTACTTAAAGGCATCATGTGACGTTTTGAAAGAGATCCTAACTTTTGACAATTTTCACAAGATTTGCAGAATGCATGCGTGTCCTTGAACATGGTGGGCCAATAAAATCCACATTGTAAGATTTTTGCAGCTGTCTTTTTTGACGAAAAATGACCTCCACATGCCTCAGAATGACAAAATTTAATGACATTACTTACCTCATTGTCAGGAATGCATCTTCGAAATATTTGATCAGGACAATATTTGAATAAATAAGGGTCATCCCAATAAAAGTTCTTCACTTCGTTCAAGAACTTTCTTTTGTCTTGAGTGCCCCAATGCGCTGGCAAATGTCCTGAAACAAGAAAATTAACAATATTAGCAAACCAAGGCATTGTAGTGACAGAAAGTAAAGATTCATCAGGAAAGTAGTCATCGATTGGTGTGATGTCAGATTTCGAATCAGTTGCCAATCTTGACAAATGATCCGCGACAACATTTTCGGTGCCTTTCTTATCCTTGATTGTGATATCGAATTCTTGAAGTAACAAAATCCACCGCACCAATCTAGCTTTAGAATCCTTCTTGGAAAGAAGATATTTCAACGCTGCATGATCGCTAAAAACAATAACAGGTGAGCCAACAAGATAAGATCTGAATTTTTCACACGCAAATACTACAGCAAGTAATTCTTTTTCAGTGGTTGTGTAATTTATTTGAGCACTATTTAAAGTTTTACTTGCATAGTAAATGACATAGGGTTTCTTATCTTTTCTTTGTCCTAAAACAGCACCCACGGCATAATCACTAGCATCACACATTATTTCAAAAGGTAATGACCAATCAGGAGGTTGAATAACAGGAGCAGATGTAAGCAGGTTTTTAAGTTTAACAAAGGCTTCTTCACAATATTCAGTCCATTCAAAAACATTATCCTTTGTTAGAAGGTTACACAATGGCTTAGATATTATACTAAAATCTTTGATAAACCTTCTATAAAAACCAGCATGTCCTAAAAATGATCTAACATTTTTAACAGATTTTGGTGTTGGCAAGTTGGCAATTAACTCAATTTTAGATTTATCAACCTCAATTCCTATTGATGAAACAATGTGACCAAGTACAATGCCGTTTGTTACCATAAAATGACATTTTTCCCAATTCAACACAAGATTCTTCTCTTCACACCTGTTCAAAACCTTTTCCAAATTAGTTAAACAATTATCAAATGAATCACCAAAAACAGAAAAATCATCCATAAATATCTCAAGAAAACGTTCAACCATATCACTGAATATGCTAAGCATGCATCTTTGAAACGTGGCTGGTGCATTACATAATCCAAAAGGCATCCTTCGGTATGCAAATGTACCAAATGGACATGTGAAAGTAGTTTTCTCTTGATCTTCAAATGCAATTTCAATTTGGTTGTAACCTGAATAACCATCTAGAAAACAATAAAATTCATGACCTGCAACTCTTTCTAGAATTTGATCCATGAAAGGTAAAGGAAAGTGATCTTTTCTAGTCATTGAATTGAGTTTCCTATAGTCAATGCACATGCGCCAACCAGTAATAGTCCTCGTTGGAATTAACTCATTTTTCTCATTTGTTATCACAGTAACTCCAGACTTTTTAGGTACAACTTGGGTAGGACTTACCCATTTGCTATCAGAAATAGGATAAATGATTCCATTATCTAGAAGTTTAATGACTTCATTCCTCACTACTTCTTTCATATTAGGATTAAGCCTTCGTTGCATTTCTCTAGAGGGTTTAGCATTTTCCTCCAAATAAATCTTGTGTGTGCAAATCAAAGGACTAATTCCTTTTATGTCAGCTATGGTCCATCCTAATGCATTTTTGTGCATTTTCAGAGTTTGTAATAACTTACCTTCTTGATGAACATTAAGTTTGGAAGAAATTATTACCGGAAAAGTTTCATTTTCTCCCAAAAATGAGTATTTGAGATTACATGGTAATGGCTTCAAATCGGGTTTTGGTGGTTGAACACTTGAAGGTATGGACCCAATTGATCGTGGTGGCAATTCCTCAATTTTTGGTCTCCAAATATTTGCCTTTGATTCTTCCTGAAAACAAACCATTTGCAAATCTTCAGATTCATTAAACTCAATTTCATTGGAAGAATTTTCAAATTGATCGTAAATTATTTTTTCAATAAAATCTACTTCCTGTAAATCATTATCATCTCCAGGTTGCTTGCAAATGTTAAAAACATTCATTTTTAATGTCATGTTTCCAAAAGATAACTTCATCACTCCATTCCTACAATTAATCAATGCATTAGAAGTTGCAAGAAATGGACGTCCTAAAATAACAGGAATTGAATTGCATGCTTCAACAGGTTGTGTATCCAAGACAATAAAATCCACAGGAAAGATGAATTTATCAACTTGTACTAACACATCTTCAACTATTCCTCTAGGCATTTTTATAGATCTATCAGCAAGTAAAAGAGTAACAGAAGTAGGTTTTAACTCACCGAGATTTAGACTTTGAAAAACCGAATATGGAAGTAAATTCACACTAGCTCCAAGATCAAGTAAAGCTCTGTCAATTTTATGTTCTCCAATAAAGCAAGAAATTGTAGGACAACCAGGGTCTTTATATTTCAAAGCATTATTGTTCTGAAGAATGGCACTTACTTGTTCGGCTAAGAAGGCTTTCTTTTTCACATTCAATTTTCTCTTTACAGTGCATAGATCTTTCAAAAATTTAGCATAAGATGGTACCTGTTTAATAGCATCTAGCAAAGGTATATTAATCCTTACCTGTTTGAAAGTTTCAAAGATTTCAGAATTGTGATTGACTTTCCTTTGTTTGGTCATGGCATGAGGAAATGGAAGTGCTGGTGGGGAATCAGTCTCTTCCTTGCAATGATCAGGTTCAACCATTTCCTTACCCTTGGAGACTAACTCATCTTCTTTCTCACAAGGTTCAAGAATAGGTTTTTTAATAACCTTACCACTGCGGAGAGTAGTGACTGATTTGACTTGATCCAGATGTTGGCTTCCAGAACTGCTTGTACTTGAATTGTATTGCCCTTTGGGATTTTGCTGGGGTTGAGATGGAAACTTACCTTTCTCCTGAAAACTGAGAGCAGATGTGAACTTTGCAAGAGTATCTTTCAAATCAGCCATGGTTTGAGCATTTTGAGTGTTGATTGTCTCTTGCTTTTCAATGAATGCATGTAATGTTTCCTCAAGATTTCTTCTAGGAGGGGGAATATAAGGAGGTGCATATCCATGAGAATTTTGAAAATTATGTTGTGTTTGAAATGGTGGGTGTGAAGTTTGTGCATTATTGTTACCACTCTTCCAACTGAAATTTGGGTGATTTCTCCAACCAGGGTTGTACGTTTGTGAGTACGGGTTATGACTTGGTCTTTGGAAACTATTTAAAGCATTGGCTTGTTCATGGAGACATTCCTTAAAAGAAGGCAACGTGGGACAATCATTGGTTGAGTGTTCATTGGTTTCACAAATTTGACACACAATTTCTTGAACAGATTTTAATTGACCACTCTTTTTTAATTCTAGTGCCTCAACTTTTCTAGCTAAAGATGCAAATTTGGCTTGGAGGTCATGATCTTCCCTAAGGCTATACATGCCTCCATTAGATGTATGAGGTTGAGTTTTACCTGGTGCCTCACAAGTACCTGTGGTGTCCCAATTTTGAGCATTTTCAGCTAGCAACTCTAGGTACTCCATTGCTTCATTAGGGTCTTTATTTTCAAAAGTTCCATTGCACATCAATTCCACCATTTGCCTATCTTTAGGTGTTAACCCTTCATAAAATTGTGAAACCAATCTCCATGTTTCAAAACCATGATGAGGACAGGTATTAAGCAAGTCTTTATATCTATCCCAACATTTATAAAATGTTTCTCCTGGTTTTTGAGTAAAAGTGGTGATTTGTCTTTTGAAAGAGTTTGTTCTATGAGAAGGGAAAAATTTCTTTAAAAACTGTTGTTGCATTTCATCCCAAGCATGAATGGATCCTGACCTAATATTTTGTAGCCATGTTTTAGCTTTATCTTTTAACGAAAAAGGAAAAAGCTTTAATCTGATGGTGTTCATGCTACAATTTAAGTCATTATAAGTGTTACAAACTTCTTCAAATTCTCTTAAGTGCAAGTATGGATTTTCTAATTCTAAGCCATGAAAAGTGGGTAAAAGTTGAATAATACCTGGCTTAAAATTAAAATGAGATGCATCAGGAGGAAAAACAATACATGATGGTGCACTTGTTCTTGTTGGATTCATATGATCTCTAAGTGTTCTAACACGATTATTCTCATTATTCTCATTATGAATTGATTGGTTATCTTCTTCGGCCATGTTTTCTAAAGAAAATGATGATTTTCTAGAAAGTCTACCACTTAATGTACGTGTCCAAACTCTCATGCAAATACAAAAGAAAAGAAAAGAAAAAAGAAAAAGAAAAAGAAAAAGAAACAACAATTAGAAAAACAAATAAAAGTGAAAATAAAATAAAATAAAATATTTAATTTATACAATAACTTACCTCCCCGGCAACGGCGCCAAAAACTTGACACGATCAAAGAGTTGATGTCTTATCCCAAGTGCAGGAGTGTCAAAGTAAAATAACCCGGCAAGACCGGGGTCGAACCACAGGGAGGTGAATTATATAAATTACAAATAAAGAAAAAGATTTAAAGAGAATAATAACAGAAAAGGAGTTGAAGAAAGTTTTGGGATGTGATATTGATGTAAGGATTAAACAATAACAAAACATATGTCAAGGTTATAGGATTCACTAATGGTATTTCAAATAAATATAATATAAACTCTTTTTATTACTCAACTAGAAACCACACACAAAGGAGGTTCTAATCGGATGATTTCTCGTTATTAGCTCATTATAAATTACTAACATGATCATATTAATTATCTTATATAAGTAATACCATACTTATAAATATCATCAAGCATTCATGTTGCTAGTTTATGTTAACAACAAATCAAGTTTCTATCATAATAACGATTTCGGCCGAAAACTATGAAAGATCAAGCATTTGATGTACCAAATATTATACAACACAAATCTAAATTAAACATTTAATAAGCAAGGTATTAAGAATTAGTAAGATAAAAAGATAAAACATGTTAATAACAATCTTTCTTGGATATAAACATTTAAAGCTCATGTTGAGTTTATATTATACCTATTCTAACACCATTAGAGAAACCTTTTCACCTTGACATAATTAACTTAGCTAAACATTAAGAAGGAGAAAAACACAAATAAACAATATAAGAACATAAACATAATATAAGCTAACTAAGTATAGGAAAGGAAATGAAAGAGCATAAACAAGAGATTACTATAGCATAAAAGAAAACTTGAACATTACAAAGATGTAGAGAGAAAGCAAGAAGATAACTTTGATCTGAAAATTAATATGACTAAATACATGGACAATGCCTCCTTTTATAGGCTAAGTTTCAGAACTATTGATTGATTGAAGAATTGGTGGGCATCCATTGATTTGGTGGCTGGTTTTTGACATTAATGGCTGCTGGTTTTTTGATATTGTGGGCTGATTTTTGATATTGTTGGCTGGCCAAAACGTCATTGCTCACATCAGAATTATAGCCAACTGAATTGTGGAATCTGTGGGCAATTGTCTCAGCTTTCCATAAAAAAAAACCAGAGCTCATTTGGACTTCTAGAACTCAAGATATGAGCCAAAAACCGAATAGTGCTTGAGCTGCAGGACAGCTTCCGACGTCTTCGTTGTTGCTAAGATTTGGGCTTGAAAACGGCAGAACTGAGTCTTTGACTTCATATGAAAGTTGTAGGTCTATGTCTTACCTTTCCATCGATATAAAATGGACCTAAATCTGATATCTACAGCTCCAGATATGATCAAATTACTGAACGGTGTTCGAGTTTGGAATGCACCAGCAACACTTTGCTAAGTTTGGCCTTCTTTTTATCCTTTCAATTTCAATCCTTAAACTCATCAATCAATCCTTTTATTTATGTGATAGACCTGCATTTAGGATGAATATTTACCATGAATTAAAGGTATATTATATTTTTAGACTTGCTAATATAAAACATGCTTTTGTTAGGGAATTTAATGATACTTTAGGTGCAATATGATGACATAAATCCTTAATGAGAATGCACTTTTAAGTACTAATCACTATATTTTCTGAATATTATGTTAGTTTTCTTCCTGGACCAATCAGATTATAACATCTTAAAAGGAATATATATCAGACTTTTGTTTATCCTTACTGTGTGAATTATTCAAAAAATATTAGATCGACTGTGTTCTTGTTGGCCGAAACAAATAAAATAAATATTGTTAATTGCTATGGCTCCTAACAGTAGATATTATTATATATTTGTAAGTGTTCAGCACAACACTATTCCAATTGCTTTAGTTTTCTTGATAGTAATTATATAATGTTGCAGATTGAAAGTATATTAGGTACATACAACTGAAAAGCAAGTCAAACTTAATAAAAAACATCACAATAAAGACACTGGCACAATATATATAATGCAGGAAAAGTAGAAAAAGCATAATAGGAAGAGAATATGTCAGGTATATTGTTACAATTTGGAAGAGAATATGTCAGACATATTGCATAGTCATTCTATCAACCTGCTATAGTTTGGTATAACAAACTTGTGAGTGTATAGAGGTTAGTTTTTTTATCCCACAATACTTGCAGCCCCCTATATAATATATGTTGTGTGTAATTTGAGACATAATTTTAAACACTACAACAAGAAAAACATTTAGTCTTGGGAGCTTTTACAAAAAGTCACACTTTACAGTAAGTTACTCTTATTTGAATAAACTTTTTCAATAGATTAATTATTTTTACAACTTTCATACGGCATGGTGTAGTTTTTTTTCAATCAACATCCCTTGTGTAATATTTACTGAATATTAAAATGACCTCTTAGATGTTTTTTTTTATGGAAAGTTTCACCTGTAAACATTTCTATTGCTTTTGCCAAGAATTTGGCAAATAATTCTTCCTGAAAGTATGCAGTTATTTTTTTCCAGACTGCTTCCTTCCTGGTATTGTGCAATGAATTTTCTAGGCTGTTTCCCTCTTCATTTCCTCATGTGATTGTACTTGATGATTAAAATTTAACAAAGTATCATTTCAAAAAACTTTTGCTCCCTATGTGTTATAACAAACAATCAAACATAGTCACTATTTTTGTACAATTCATAACAGGCATATGTCATAATATTATAATAATAAACATTTTTGAATTGTTGTTATGCAAGATATAATAATTATATTGTCTTACTTATTTATGGTACAAATTGGTATGAAGGCAAAGTGTTTGTAATTGAATTTGTGTAGGTAGATATGGCAAATGAATGGGTTGATGCTATGCTTGGCGTTAACTATGATGACAATTATGATACCGTTATGAATCATGTAATTGATAATATAAATTACCATGGTAGTTGAACCGGTGGTAGTGGTGGAGATGCCAACAATGATAATGATGGTGGTGATGGTGGGGATGATGGGGATGATTCAAACAGAACGGATAATGATGGTGACAGTGATGATGATAGTGATGAAAATGAAGATGAAAATTGTTCTGATGATGAGGGTGATTCATTTTGGCTACGAGAAAATGATCGTAAGAAGCTGTTGTTATGCACTGCTGGTGCTTTACACGTGTATTATGCTATTTATGTGCATAAGGAACCTTGTATGGTCTCATATAACACAGGGATGAGATGGTTGAATGAAGTTGTACGAGGACACCGGAAACAGTGTGTTAACATGTTTAGGATGCATGCAACGAAATTACAAACCCTTTGTTATGACTTGGGAACACAGTATGGGTTGAAACCATCAAGAAGGATAAGTGTTATTGAGAAGGTGGCAATGTTTTTATACACAATTGCATTAGGTGCAACAAATAGACAAGTACAAGAAAGATTTCAAAATTCTGATGAAATTGTGAGTCGAAATTTTAATGAGGTGTTGAAGACAATTTGTTTGCTTGCGGTAGATATAATTAAACCACAGGACTTTTAATTTTTAAACACTCCATAAGAAATTACGATGAATCCGAGATTTATGCCTCATTTTAAGGTGAGTCAGATATTGTTTATAGCAACCAATGACAAAGAAAAGATTATTTAAGATTTGGCTAGTTGTTATTTATGACATGTTGGTTAATGTTGTGTTTTGTCACATTTTGTAGAATTGCATTGGTGCGATAGACGGCACACATGTTCGTGCTTCTGTTTCCCAAGAAAATCAAGTGTCATTCATCGGTAGAATAGTTGTGCCGACACAGAATGTAATGGCTGCATGTAGTTTTGATATGCAATTCACGTTTGTTTGGGCAGGATGGGAAGGTGGCGCTCATGATACTCGTATTTTTTTAGAGGCTATTGACAATCCAAATATCAAATTTCCAAAACCTCCTGAAGGTAAATATATTAAAATAATTAATTTTTAATTAAATTTAAAATATGTGTATTCTATATTTTTTGTTATTAAATTTTTTATAATTTTCTTCCTTGTTATTAGGAAAATATTATTTAGTTGATGCTGAGTACCCAAATGAGTTTGGATATCTTGGTCCATATAAAGGTGAGAGATATCACTTCCAAGAGTTTCGACATCGAGGGCAACCAACCAGCCAGGAAGAACGATTCAATCGTGAACACTCATCACTTCGCAATGTCATTGAACATGCATTTAGAGTGTGGAAACAAAGGTGGAGAATTTTACAGAACATGTCGGCATATCCATACAAATCGCAAGTGCAGATTGTAGTGGCATCAAAGGCACTACATAACTATATTAGAAGGAAGTCACAAGAAGATTTTGCATTTACCGAATATGATCGCAATCCTAATTTTATTCCTAATGATATTTTAGTCGATGTTTTTCCATGTTCACAAAGCCAAGGTAACCAGCAGTCTTCTCGAATGAATTATGTCTGTGATGAAATAGCAAATAGTTTAATCAGATGATTAAAGAAGAACAATAATGTAACATTCTTATTTCTTTTATGTATAAAAAAATGCTCACAAATGCTACTAACAACTTGCAAATTAACACATGTCCTTCTTGGTAATTTTATTAACAAAAGTACTTTCAAAAGAATCTTAACCAAACACATATTAATTGCTTATTAGACAATAATATTTTAAACCATAGTTTTACCCAAATACATCTTTTTATATATACACCACAAGAAAGAGTGATTTCTAAAAATCTACTTTTATCGACCGCAAACACAAAAGCCACCACTTTTCCAAACACACCCTAAGAATCTTAGCCCAATATTTTATTCAAATTTTTTTTAATATCCCAGATACTTTAATATTTTATATTAATAAAATATATATATTTTTAAATAAAATATAATTTAAAATATCACAAAAATAAAATTATTTTTCAATCTCTCTTCTCTACAAATAACCAAAACTTGTAAGTTATAAATATCACATGAAATCTTTAAGATTTATAATTTTTTTATTTTTAATATTTTTAATATATATATTTTTAAAATTTATCTTTCTAAATATCATTGTACTTTATCTTCCTATATAATTATTTAAATATTTAAAATTCTTTATATTTATCAAACAAGATTTTTTACAAGTATCGGTTAACAGTCACCTTGAATCATACCACCTATCTTAATTTATTAGATATTACCTATAAGCCACGGTAAACTAATTAAATTAAACAAATTACTAAAATTAAAAAATTACTGGAATTAAAAAAATAGCTAATTGTTAACACAATTCATATTCTGGCCACAAGTCAAACATCTCGGTGACTGTCATTTAAAGTGGATGTCGTTCTACGCGAGCCAAGGACGAAACTAAGAAGTTGATTTTTTGAATGCAGCAGGCAATCAAGGCACTGATTGAGCTGCACGTCGTTTTGAAACTCGAATGGGATGTTTTCGTGTAATGCCAAAAGTAAATAAAAATGGGGACAAAATACTTGAAAAAAAATAGAAAAAAAAAAGCAATTTGGAAAGGTTCAATGCTTGACAACATACTTGTGTCAAAATTAATTAGGACTGATCTTGTTTGCTGAGTTTATTTTTATTTTGTCACTTGGAGCACAAATTTGTTAATGGGATTGTTGTCATTTAATCAGCTCATGTGTTGTGTAGTCCTGTGTGTGTGTTTTTTTAAACTTTTATTCTATGTTGTGATAATAAAATGTTTTTTTAATCATAAATCAAATTAAAAAGTTAGACTGTTTAATTAGTATTTTAAGTTAATAAACAAATACATAAGAGACAAAAATATATTTGTCGAAGAAAATGACGATATATGTCTTTCAAACTCAATAAAAATTTGTTGCTTTTGAAGTTCTTTTAATGTGAAAATATTGTATTTAAAAAGAAAGTTTCAATTTTGACTCTAATTGTTTAGAAAATCTGATAAAAAAACCATTTTTTATTAATTGGCGGAAAGGCCTCAATTTCACTCCTTTTAAATTCAGTGGATGGCTAAAGGATTTATCCATTACTTTAGTTTTAGAAATCTGAAGGAAGAAATAAGAAATTATCACAATGTATTGAATTTGGCTAAAAAATCAACTTGTAGTTGGGGTAACAAATTACCCTATTCTTCGAGGCCTTTAATGGTTAACACTTGCAAAGGAGGCAATTGGGCTGCAAAATTCTTTGGGCCAAAAAAAGCTGCAATTTGAAAGAATCAATTTTGTTAGCCGAGGGAAGTTGATGATGCCATCTCTGGTGAGGGCATCTCCTTCTCCACTGTAAAATATTTGCTTTAAATTGTCAGCAAATTTAATCGTTATCTGTTCCAGGTTCAGAAGACTTGGAGACACGGAGACAGGGAAGACATGTTCCAGCAAATTTAATTGTATAGAGATTTTTTAATCCTGGAAATCCAAGAGACTCTGATAAGACGCTTCAATCCACCACAATGTTCTATCTGTAGTGTTTCCAGATGAATAAGACCCTGAGCCAGGGACGGTGTGAAGTTAAATGTCAGTTCGTCAAGACACCACAAGTTCAGCATATCTAATGGGCCTCTTCCATGTTACTATTTTAAAAAAATATATGTGCGTGTTATGGTGAATGAAAAACTGTGTTGCTAAAGAATCAGAATTAAAATAGAGTTATCTTTAAAAAAAAAATACAAAATTGGGTCTATTAAATAAAAAAATAATTATTTTTAACATTAAAAACTCTTTTCTTTTTAAAAGTCTATTAATTTTATTTTTATTCTACTAATCTTTCTTCCTTCTCAACATTGTTTTGAGATAGTTACATTTATAAATTAAATTTGCTGTTTATTTTCATTTGTATTATTAAAAATATTAAATTGAATATTTTTGGAGGTTCGCACAATAAATTACTAAACACATAACATTACCCTTATTTCTGGAAGTTCACACAACAAACACATGAAATAAGACAAATTGTTGTAGCTAATGAAACAGCTGGAATTACTTCCCACCAATGTCGAGTTGATCACATCACATAGGTAACCAACCAACCTAATGCAAACATCAAGAACAAAGATCATCCAGGCATCTCGTATTTGTTGATTTAATTCAACCATTTAAAGAAGGATAGAAGATAAATAGTTGCAGCCATTTTACCTGAAAGAATTAATTACTAGCATGTTTTTTAAATTCCAATGCCAAACTAATCATCTGACTCCATCCTCTACCTCTTTCAATTCCCACCCACTATCTCGGGTCCACCTTATAGCAGTGCTGGTTGGCACGGAGCAACCAGTGCTGGAACCCTCAGCTACTTGAGATAACTGCAAAACCAATTCAAGCATGGCATACACATTCTAACTTGTAAGTCTTATTATTGAGGGAAACAAGAAATAAAAACACTGAAAGAAAGGCAAGAAATCATGTCAAATATACAACACCTTTGATTGAGCACTCATTGAACCATTTGATGTAGTAGCAAATCTTGTGGACAGCTTTGGACATTGACGCACCCCCAACATCTCCAAACGAGGGAATAAGAAATCACAACATCCATGACTAAAGTAGGCAATGCTTGGTAATTTTTCTAGAATCAGCCACACCAGATCAGTGAGCACCGTCTCTTTCTCAGCATTGACAGGTGAAACATGATCATCCTTCCCAAATACTCCCAATAATTGAGAGGATTCTCTTACTGTAAGTATTTGGAGCTTTTTGAGACCTGAAGCCATGGCTATCGGGAAGAGACTCTTCAACTTGTTGCATCCTGTGATCTGAAGTCGACACAAATTAGGAAAGCATGCAGATTGGAGATCACTTTCTGAAAATATCTGATGCTTTTCATCATTATTATCCTTGGCAATAATTTGCTCCAATTCCTCACAATTTGATATCTCTAGAATTTTCAGTTGAATTAGACTAGCAATCATGCTGCCTGTGAATACATGTGTCAGTCTCTTACACCTTTTCACCTCCAAAGTAGTCAAATTACATGGCACGAGACCCTTCCATATACTCCCCAAGTCAGGCACAAGCAGGGAGGACAACTTCAATGTTTCCAAACTTGTAAACCCCTGCATCAAAAGAAAACAAGGGTACCAATTTGTTAGATATAATTCCTAGTAATTTTTGTGGACTTTGAAACTATTATATAATTTTGTTAAATAGATGAACCAATTATCCCCAATACCGAAATACTTATCAACAAGAAGATATAGATAGACAAGGCAACGGGTCATGGGAATATAAAATCATATTTTTTCATATTTATGATAATCTGAATACAAACTATTATTTTATATTAGTTAAATTAAAAGCAATCATGAAAAATTATACATTAACTCAAAAAAATTAATTTTTTATATTCGATTTATAATTCAAAAAACAATTATGAAATTTTCCAAAAATAAAAATATGAAAGAAAATAATTTGAATTTTACATATTAGTAAAATGTTTTAATAAAAATGCTTGATTATGTATCATTTAAATTATTTTTTTCATAAAAAAAGTGAAAACAAAGTGTAAAAAAAATTAAAAATATTTTTTTTTTGAATTCAATACAAATTTGGTGCTTTTGAAGTTCTTTGAATGAGAAGATATTGTATTTAAAAAGAAAGTTCCAATTTTTAATTTTTTACTCTAATTGTTTAGAAAATTGGATTAAAAAACCAATTTTTTTACTTTTTTCAACTCTGTCATAAGTTGCAGCACTGAAATAAAATACTCAATATTCACTCCTTTTAAATATTTTTCATTAATTGGCGGAAGAGCCTCAATTTCACTCCTTTTAAATTCAGTGGATTTGCAACCATTTATCCATTACTTTAGTTTTAGAAATCTGAAGGAAGAAATAAGAAATTACATTACAGTAATTGATGTCTAACTTCCTAAGCCAATTTAAATCATCAATTAAATTCAGTGGATGGGCAAAGAACTTATCAATTACTTTAGAAATTCAGTGGATGGTTAAAGAACTTATCAGCAAATTAAACATAGTATTGAAGTTGACAATTTAAATTAGAGAAAAAAAAAAGGAGAAATATAGAGGACGTACTCGAAGCTGTGCCAACAAATTATCCCATTCTTTGTGGCCAGAGATGCTTAGACATTGCAAAGAAGGCAATTGGGCAGCAAAATCCTTTGGACCAAACAAGCTGCACTTTGAAAGAGACAATTTTCTTAGCTGAGGGAAGTCGATGATGCCATCTTTAATTTTAGACTTGACGATGATGTCATCTCCTTCTCCACTGTAAAATACTTGCTTTAAATTGTCAGCAAAATCAATCTCCATCTCTTCCAGGTTCTGAAGACTTGGAGACATGGAGACAGGGAAGATATGTTCCAGATAACGACAGCCTCTTATAGAGAGAGTTTTTAATTTTGGGAAGCCAAGAGACTCTGGAATTATTTCCCTTTCGTCATCCTTTTCTCTGATAAGACGCTTCAATCCACTGCAATGTTCTATATGTAGTCTTTCCAGATGAATAAGACTCTGAGCCAGGGACGGTGTGAAGATAAATGTCAGTTTGTCAAGAAACGACAACTGTAATTGATTAAGACTTTGGAGGCTGACATGTCTAGTGGGCCCCTTCCATATACATTTGAGCTCAGGTAAATAGGACAGCTGTAACTTTGTTAAAGATGACAGCAGCCGCAGCTCCTTCTCCTCGTTAATTCCTTCATCAGCCCCACCCAATTCAAATACGTCTTTCAATGATTTGCACATATCAATTTCCACACTCCTTAGATTTTTCAAAGCTTGCCGCCATTTTGCTGGAAACAGAGTGCGAATATCCCCACATTCATGCACTTTGACATGTTCTAATCTTTGTAAGAAGTCCTTTGGCGACCCATGGCCAGGGGAGGTCATCTGATAAGAGGACAATACTATATTTTCTAAACCCTCCACTCTCCAAAAACTAATTTGAGACACAGTAGGAAACAACTGCTCAAATGTCTTTGCATTTAAGGATGTGGCGCTTATATCATCCAAATATAATCTTGTCGAGGTTGGGTATTCTTTATCGAGTTCTGAATGCCCATCCCCTAACATTATATCATATTTGAGCAACCTGGGTAAAACAAAATCTCTGGGAATGCATTCAACCTTCGGTATCTTCAATGATAATACAGCTAAATGAGACAGCGATGTTAGGCTTGCATTCACTCCTTCTGTGCTGTCACATCCAACAACATCCCATCCCTTGAAGCTCCCATCCCCGATCAACAGTTCTTCTAACTTCTTCAACCTTCCTATCAAATTCACAGGAATCCTTCTTAGCAATCCACAACCTGTCACATCCAACAACCTTAACTCCTTGAGCTCCCCAATTTCATCAGGCAATTCTTCAATGAAGTGGCACCACCTGAAAACAAGAATCTTAACTCTTTGCAGCTTTCTCAACCAAGTGAGGTCCTTGCATTGACAGTCGATCAACAGCAACGATTGAAGGTTCGTTGAGTGTTCAAGTGATTGCAATGACAAACACCCTCCCTTTAGAGACAAAACTTCAATTTTTTTCATCCCTTCAAAAAACCTCTCTGGAACATTCAAACCATCATCCAGTCCTAACAATAGAACTTTGAGCTGTGGACACACCAATTCTTCAGGAAGTTCTGTGAGTTTATTGCCCATTAACGAGATTACTTTACAACCTTCAAAGCTTTTATTGCTCGTTGGCCACTCCAGCAACCCAATGCCAGCCTTTACCATGAATCCGTATTTTTCTGATGATGCTATCCGAATAGCAACATCACGAACCAAGTCATGCATTTTCACATATTCTTCAGTTTCAGTTCCTAACAGCATACAACAAGCTTTGAGGTTTTCGATTTCCACATAAACTCGTTTCCTTGCATCTTCAATGGACTCCGCATCTTTATGTAACCCATAGCCAACTGCGTATCTCGTCAAGTCCTCAATTGGAATGTTGTAATCTTCTGGAAATAAACAGCATAGCAAGAAACATGACTTGGTCTCATCGGACGTCAAATAATCATAGCTCAACTTAAGACATGCATATGCATTGTTTTGTCCGTCAATTTGTTCCAAATGCCGAAATTGAGAGTTTTTGAGCTCTTCAGACGCTACTTCCCACTCAACAACAGATTTATCTCTTAGAGCCCTTCCCACTGTCACAAGGGCTACAGGCAATCCATTACATTCTCTCGCAACCTTCTTTGCCACCGTGTTCAAGGTAGAGTCCTCGTCACGTAAATCTGCATTGATTCTGAATAAAGCCCATGCTTCCTCTTCAGAAAAGAGACCTAAAAAAACTTTTTCCTTGCACCTCATATAAGAACACATGTCTTCAAGACGTGTTGTTAGAAGAATTTTACAACCCCTGTGATCATCACCAAATGGGATCCCTATCTCTTGGAAGTCAATAACTTTCCAAACATCATCCAGGACTATAAGCATCTTCTTTCCCTGCAGTCTCTGCCATAGTTCTTTTGCTCTCCCTTCTTTACTCTTCTTGTCAAATTTCAGATCTAAACTATCTGCCATTTGATCCTGGATGCCTGTGGCATTTGGATTCTGGGACACCGTAGCTATCAAAACTTCATCAAAAAGGTGCAACTCTTTGGCTCTCCTGCCTACTTCTTTCACCAGGGTGGTTTTACCCCCCCCTCCCATGCCGTACAGTCCGATCATATTCACCTTGTCATCTTTGAGGGCTTTCATAATCTGTTTGAAAGCTTCTTTTGACGATCCTGAGAGTGTGAATTCCTTTGATGGAAGAAATTTTATCTCTTGAAGAGGTGCTTTGTGGGACACTTTTGGAAACTTTCTGCTATTTTCTTCAAGTTTTCTCAAAGTCTCCGTCTTCTTTGCCAGTGCCTTGCTTATCTTGAATTGTCTCATCCAATTTGGACACCAAGTAAAGCATTTGCCAATTTTTCCTTTTTCATTTTGCAAACGATTCACACCTTCAATTTCGTTTTTTGCATTTTCCAGCCATGTGTTGACATCAATCTCAATTTCTTCAGCATTCCGTTGAGCAACGTCGACAGCATCTTGCAGACGATAAAATGCCAAAGCCAGGTTCTTCATTTGTTCATCGAATTCTTGAACAAAATTGTTGAAACAGAACATGTAACGGAACTGCTTGATTGCTGGTTCCACCAAGAGTTCTAATATCTTAGATACAATGGATCCACCAACACTTTCGATATCCATTTTTCACCAGTCTGAAAAATTAGAGAAATGACGATGCTGACTGTGAGAGAGAGTCATTACAAGTAAAATAGGCAATGAGAGAATGAGAATAGTAAGTTTATTACCTTAATTTGTGAAAATATATGCGGAAAGCACCGGTACTGACTGCTCAATAATAAAATATAGCGAGAGGAACTAAAGGAGAAGGCCTTTAGCTCTGTATGGAGGCCACTTCAAGAGCAACAAGGCAAGGTATAAGTAGAACGATAAACATTTAATTCCTTGTCCTAACATAACAATTATTTACACAATAGTTCATAGATCATTGTAATCCCTTTGTCCCCTCATCAATAGCTATCCATGCCATGTGTTAAAATTCACACTTACCCTAACAATTATTTACACAATAGTTCTTAGATCTCTGTGCTTTTCCATATGAAAGATAGAAATACCTTTTTTTTCTTTCTCAAAACCAGTAAAAAGAAAAGATAGTTTACATGGATTCTAACTTACGAGTTCGAGCAGCAATTCCCATAAAAAAAAATGCAATTTGATGACATAATTAATGGAACGAACTCAACAAAGGATCAATCTTAGGCAACTAAAATCTGTAATGACTTTATCTAAATCTATGCCATGAGTATAAGTCACACTTATTTACACAACAACTTTATCTAATGAAGCTGATTTGGTTTCAATTTTATTATCTTAATTTTAAACACTCATTCCCTCGATTATTAAGTAATGGGAATATCTATCCTTTCTTTTTTTTATATCTAGTTCATACATCTATGTCTAGGAATATCTAACATGCTAACTTGAAATATCTTGATTTGACTTTTTATCTAGCTTGAACTTTAAATTAAATTATCTAGGAGTTGTATCAATATAACATAATAGACTTGGTTTGTCTAAAAACAATTTAGAAGGCCAGTAAAAATATGGTTTAACTTAAAAAAACATTTCAAGATGAAACTTTCATTTTAAAATATTGAGATAACAACACATTGGATCAACCTATGTCAATATAGATTAACCCATCAAACTTGTTATCTGAATCATGAACTTCACTAGGTTTAATATTATTTTAAAAAAATTATTTATATTTAATGATATGATTAAAAAATAAATGCTAAAAAAATCAAGCCTTAACCCATTACTGAGACATTTTATTAAGACCATAATAATTTTATGAAAAACACACCAAAATAAATTATGAAGTTCATTACTTTACATTTTTTTTTAATTGAGATATGAAAAGATACTATTTATATTTTACAAAAAAATTAAAAATATATATGAACTAATAAATCAAAAGGAGTTGCTATAATCACTAATTTAATATTAAAACATGAAGTTAATCTTCATAGTAGAAATAAAATATAGATACACATACAAATATTTTATATTGATTGTTCTTTTTATTTTAATCTTGTTAAGGACAAATCAAACTAATTTCTTTGAAATATCATGCAACTAAAAACATAAAAAAAATCAATCACTATTTAAAAAACTTTTTCAAAAAAGAACTAATTTAATAGAAACATTTAATGGAAATGGATAAAAAAAAGTCAAAAAGTCAAGCCTAAGAATCTACTTTTCAACCTATTTGCATCTGAAAACACCATAAAAACCTCTATGTACCAAAAACAAAATCCCAAAATCATTCAAAAAATAAAAATAAACCAAATAAGAAAATCTAAATGGAACTCAATATATTTTTCAGGCATGTTTATAGAAAGAAACTACCACTATTAAACTTCTTTCATATAATAAAACTTATTGATACCAAGAACGATGAGTTTCATCTATGAAAAGTGTAACACTACATAGGTGGCTCGCGCTATATTGTGGGTAGACCCAAATTTTTTTCAACATAAAAAAAGGATGTTAAGGCAATGCAAGCATTCATAAAAAAAAAAAAACAAAAAGAGTTGAGACTTGGATCATTGACTCAATTATGTTTAATAATATTGGCTAATTGAAAACACAAATGACAACTACCACGACTATAAAACAATTAAAGAAAAAATGACACTAAAAAAAGGTAAAAAAAAATTAAATTAAGCCCATCCATATTAGAATGCAAAATATGCGACTTGGTCATGACATCGGGGTAACCCCGTTGAAAATAAATTAAACAAAATTATGAAACTGAATTATCAAATAACCTAACATCAAATGGCGAAGCTAAAAAAACAATGAAAAAACAACCCGAGTTAAACTAGGTTAACCTATTAATCTCATTATTATAGGTATAAGTATAAGATTAAAGTATCAATCAAATGTTAAAATACAAAATAAATAAAAAAAAATCAAATTTTGAAAGATCTTATTTGATAATGAAGAAAATTTTAAATAAGAACGTGAAAACATTCAAAGCTCAATTTCTGGTAAACAAAACATTAAAGGATGAATTGAAGACAAAATATAATCTCAAAAAAGTTTTGAAAAAAACCCCACTCGATTCCATCGAGTCAGCATACAAAATCCATGACCTGGTTGTGATATTGGACAACCTCATCAAAAACAAATTGAATAAAACTATGAAGTTTAATTATCAAACAACCTAATGTTGAAGAGTAAGATAACTCATATGATTTTCAAAATCAATGAGAAATCTAATAGAAAGAAAAAAAAACTAGAGCCCAATATTCATTTAAATAAATATTGAATGATGAAACTAAAAACCATAAGCTTAAAAAGGAGGGAAAAACCAAGCAAACTCAAGTAAATCTCCTAAACCTATTATACTTTATCGTCAAATATAAATAAATAAATTATTAAATTGATAAAAAAACTTATGTAATCTTATTGTTTTTAGGATTATAAGTAAAGCCTAATATTCATAATGGAGCTCAAATATTTAGTCATGAATATATGCTTGTAGTACTTAGAAAATAACATGAAGTTTATACTAGTGTGTATGCCTAACAACTATAACTTTATTTCTTTTCTAGTCAAGTGGTTATATATGCCACTAACTTTATTCATGCAATTAATATATTTAAAGTAGGTGTTTATTTAATAAAAAACACACACTGAATTGACTTGTAAAAGAAATGTAGAGAGAATTTATTCTTGAAAGGAGTAATGAGAGGATAATAGAATTAAAAGAAATTCAAGAACCATAAACTGACATCCAATTAAAACCCAAGCTTGAATATATAACACTAGATGCTCAGCTTAAAAATCAAGAAACACAATAATTCCATAGATCTAATGAGAGATGTCATACACCAATGAAATATGAATTTTTCATAGAAGCTAAAAATGATAAGTTTAATAAGCCTACAAATTACACGAAAACAATATCTAATATTGATTTCATGAAATGACTCAAGGATATAAAATTCTAAATGGATTAATTATAACTTGGTTGATTAACTTGAAGGGGTAAGATTCATTGGATGTAAGTGGATCTTTAAGAAATAGATTAATATTAATGGCAATGTATAAATGTATAAAGCCAGATTAGTCATTAACGGTTACAAGAATAGACAAGAATTGACTTTCATGAAACCTTCTTGCTATAGTTACATGCTAATATTATGAATTCTAGCAAATAGATGTCAAAAATGCATTCTTGTGTAGGAATATTCATAAAGATATGCATATTACACTACCTAAAGGTTTTGAATCTAAATATTTTCCTATAAAAGTATGCAAGCAGGAAAAATCTATTTATAGACTTAAACAAGATTCAAGGAGTTGAAATATTCATTTTGATAAGATAATTTAAAAAAATATTTTATTAAAAATATTTGATGGATATTGATAATAGATGAAAAATGTATGTTGTAAAAGAGGTTTATGCCTAATTTTATATATCAAAAGAAATTTCATGGAGATTATTACCTATCTTTGTTATTATTTGTTACTACATTATTTATGTATACATCTTAATTTTTATTTTTAGGTCTATCAGGGTCTCATCAGGAATAATATTGTTTTAGTTATTTTTTGCTTTTTACCATGTAATTATTTATAAATTAAGAGATTTATCTCCTAAAACTTGAAATATGATATTAATTCATAAATTTGAATATATGACTTTAATCTAATGTTTGTAACTCTAAATACCTATTTAACCATACATGTTTATAGTTGAAATTAAATCTTTCACTTGAATTATATTATATGAAATTCTCTCTCAAAGAAAGAAAGTTTTTTGTATAGAATAAAAAGAAAAGCTAATACAAGGATCAAACTAGAGCTAGCATCTAATAGGAACTTGTGTATGACTATCCTTATGATATATCCATAAAAGCTAAAAGAAATTCCATACTTTAAGCTAAAAATATTCAAACTAAAAGGGATCCTGTATTTCAAATTTGATCTACTTTCATATTTTGTTTTCTTATATTAACATATAAGGCTAAAGGCTTGATGAATGGATCAGCAAAAAAAAAATATCAACATATATAAAACATATTTATAGCAAAAAGAAATTAACCTTTCAAATCAAACATGAAACTGATAATAATAATAATAATAATAATAATAATAATAATAATAATAATAATAATTTACAACTTGAGTAGAATAACTTCATCCTGGATAGAAGTACACTAAACAAGACATAATAAATAGAGAGATAGATTTGTACATAAATAGAGAGATAGACAAGGAGAGGGAGGCAGAGAGAGAGAGAGATTATTGTGTTTTAGAATAATTCATTAAAAATGTTTGGATTAATTTTTATTTCATGGTCAGAATTCTTGTGTAATATTTTATATATTATTAAATATTAAGTCTACACTCTATATTGCATTAATTAGGGAATTTATAAAAAATTTATTTCTCATAGACTAACCATACAACCGAATAATTAACATATAATAAGTGGTTTTGGCATTTCACTATAGCAATAAATAGTGAGATTTTTTTATCTTTTTCAATTTAATCCTCAAATATTTTCTTAGTTCAAAATTTTGTTTTTTAATTTCATCCTTCATTGTTGGACTTAATGGGTATTGAATTTCATAATTTGTTTCAATTTACTTTTTATTGAGTTATTCTAGTCTCATTATTTGAGTTTGGTAGGTTAGTGTAAGTTGATTTAAGTTATTTTTTTATCCTTTTTTAGTTGATTTTTTTCTTCTAAGCTTCATCTTTCAATATTAGTTGATTGGGAATTAGGCTTAATATTCATTTATTTTTTTATGGGATTATTATGATTTCATGACTTGAGTCGTGAGTTTTTTTAATTTTTTTTTCAATTCATTTCT